CCTGAGCCATATAACAAGATACTGTCTGAAGAAAGAAAAGAAAGGAAAAACCAAACTCATCCATCAAAATAAAAACAGCAACAGCTTCTTTCACAAGTGCCATGTTAACTCAAGTCACAAGGGAGTAGTGAGGTCTTAATTTTTTGTCTTAAACCACCTGAGACTAAGGGACAATGCTTAAAGGAAATTATTTTATAAAAAAAAAAAAAAAAAGGCATAGGATTAATGCCTTTTGAGAAGCTGGATAATGTAATAGCAGGGAAAATTTGAAATAGGCTTCAAAGGCAGCACATAAAGAATGGGCAGACACCTCTCCATGATTCACCATGCATCACTGACTTACACACCTATCTTTCCAGACAGACTCTCCATGAAGTACTGAAAAGACTGACATGATTACACTGTTTGCCCTGTAGAGAATGGACTGGAATGCCTGGTCCAACATGGCTCCAGGCATTTGCCCTGAGTAGGGCTAGCAAGGGAATGAAGGAATGACAGACACAGAGAAATGAAATGCTGGGATCAGACAGTCTGGACTCTCAGATGGAGAAACTTCAGCACCCCAGAAGCTCAGTGTATTTATTACATACAGCACAGACACACAGGGTTATTGCATACAGCTGAACAAAAAGGCAGGGATATGATATGCAGATTAACAAGAAGGAAGGGTTTATGCTACACAGCTGGATCAAGGAGATAGGTTTAGCTAACCTCAATAAAAGCATTCTCTGTAGGAAGCACTCTTCAGACCATAAAGAGTAAGAGAGGGCAGAAAAGAGTTATGGTGTACATTTTTTTCTATATACACTACCAGTATATGTAAGTGGACCAGAAGAAGGCTTTGTCATCCCTCTTAGCCTCACCATGGGGGCAGTGGTGGGGAAGAAGCCTTTGCCATTTTTCTACGGGTCTGAAGCCATGTTCTTTGACAAGCCTTTGTCCATGTCAACAGCACATATTCATACAGGACTTCACTTACTAGGGCCTCCTCTGATCTCCACACTGGAAGATGACAAAAGTAAAAGGAGAGAACTTGGTTAAGAAGCTACAGTTGTCTAGGCAACAAATGGTGGCTTAGATTACAAAGATGAGTGTAAAGACAGAAAGATGTTTGTATTCAAGAGCTAACGTGGAGGTGCCCTGTACTGAGACAAGAATAACAAAGTTCTTGATTTGCCTTCCTGCTGTCCTCTTCTAATATCTACCATAAATGCTTAAACCAAAACTAGAGGTACAGATGTCATCAATTTCTTTCATTTTCCATCAACTTAATAATTAAGTCATCACTGTTTCTACCACATTTCCAAAATCTTGCTCAAACTGATAACTTGTGTCTTCCTGTAATAAACTTTCAAATGGAAGCTATATCTTGGGTTACTACAGCTAATTCCTATTCTCCCTCTCTCCGTTTTTCAAGACAGAGTTTATCTCTGTGTAGCATTAGCTGTCCTGGAATCATTCTGTAGACCAGGCTGGCTTCAAACTCACAGAGATCCACCTGCCTCTGCCTCCTGAGTGCTGGGATTAAAGGTATGTGCCACTGCTGCCCAGCTGCTCTCTCTCTTTGAAACAACTATCAGATAGGCTGGTGGAAGCAAGTAAGCAACTGAGTTTATGATTCTGACACTCAGCAATGAGACGACTATGAGCTATGAGCTGGGAAATGAACATATAGAGGTAGTACATAAGCTATAGAACTAGATGAAATAAAATGTGCAGTCAGTGTCTGTATATAGAAAAAAAGATCACAGGGCCATGCCGAATGACACCTTCTTCTTAGAAGAAGGAATTTAGGTGGGAAATAGTCAAAGAAAGCAGATGTTCTGGCAGACCACCAATGTCCTCTGGATTTTCAATATTCTCAGTTCTTGTCATGAAACCAATAAATTACCTTTTCCTAAAAACTACATTTCATGACACTGTTCTACTCTTATTTCCTCAGCTCTTTGGTTTCTGGGTATATGTGTGTATATATATTCACACAACTCTACCTTAAAGATATTATTCATAGGTGGGCCTGGTGGCACACACCTTTAATCCCAGTGCTCAGGGAGACAAGAGGTAGGCAGATCACTGAGTTCAAGGCCAGCCTGGTCTATAAAGGGAGTCCAGGACAGCCAAGGCGACACAGAGAAACCCTATCTCAAACAAAACAAGATAAAAAGATATTATTTATTCTTATAGCCTTAACCATCAATCAATTAATTCCAAACTGGTAACTTCCAAATGGCTAGCTTACTAGGGCAGGCTTGTGAATATATAGCTTCTTGGGCCTTTTTCGGCTCAAGAATCAATTCTCTTAGTGAATTTTTTTTAATTCAAATTATTTATTTTTCTCTCTTAATTTTTAAAATGTATTATTGTTATTATTATTATTACTATTATTGTGTGTGGGCAGATGGATGCATGAATGTGAAGATCAGAGGATAAATTTGTAGAGCTGGTGTTAGTGTGCAGGCCATTCTGCTGGCCTGCCCTCAGGGACCTAGCAACACCTTAGGTCACCAACTGCCATCTCCAGGTGGCTGCCACCCCAGCAATCTCTCTCTCTCTCTCTCTCTCTCTCTCTCTCTCTCTCTCTCCCTCTCTCCCTCTCTCTGTATGTTCTAGGTATCCCCTTCTCCTCCCTCCCTGGACCCCTTCTCTATGCCCTCATGGCTCACTCACTGCCTCTCTCCAGGCCCCCCTCTCCCATCCCCAATAAACCTCCTTACACTAGATCTGCTGTGTGGCGTAATTTCTCAGGGGGCACACCCTTGCATAGGCCCGTGTTACCCCTGCCAGTGCACCATTACATAGCGTATCGGCTGGTTCTTTCCTTCCACCTTTACCTGTGGCACGAATGATCAAATTAAGGCACCAAGCGTGTTCAGTAAGCAGTTTCTAAGCCATTTTGCCAGTCCATTCTACTTACTTGTTAGGTGATATTAGACACTGTTGAAAATGTTACTGAAATGATCTTGTATCTAAAAAAGAAATTTGGTTTAAAGAAATCAGTAACTCACTAGAAAGGAAATCTAATGAGAATGGAAATCTTTATTAAAGCTCTGTAGCTGTCCTGTATTTGTTTCCATCAGCCCCAGCAGTGATTTGAGATATAAATTAATCAAATGGGGGTGCAGTGCTGAGGACTCAAGCTGAGCAACTTTGGCTTAACCACAAGGGTAGTTTAATAGGGAGAATGAAATGGAAAATAGCAGCTTTAAAAAGTACAGGAAGCAGGATGAACTCTGGGGTCAAGCAAAAAGAGTCAAGTCAAAAAAATAAAGGCTTCACAGTCATAAGTCTGTATCCACTAACACCGGCCTATCTTAAATCTAAATTCTTGATCATTTATATTATCTGTATCACTAGACTGGGTTTCCTGAGGCTACTTGACACCATTCCTTGCTTCTTTGTAAAGCTTTAAAAAGCCTTGCCCAAAAAATTATATTACTCTTTGAAGGAGTGTTTGCTCCTGTTCAATTTCTATACCATTATCTCCAATTCCAAATTAATGATGTTCTATGGTTTTATTAATGGGGTTTTACAGTGCTAGTGGGAAGAATTAACACAGCAAAGCTTTAAATAAACATTACTCATCTTCGACAACAGGAAACTGCAACTCTTCTGATTACATAGTTATACACTAGATTACAAAAAAAAAAAAAGCACATGATTCTATCTATGAACTGTTGTTGTTTTCCTATTTTTGTTTTTAGATGGAGTTTCACTGTGTAGGCCAGGGTTTGCCTGAACTTAAGTGATCCTTCTGCCTTGGCCTATAGTTCAGAAGAGCCCTTGCCTAGCATGCTAAGGCCTTGAGTTTGCTCCCCAGCACTCAATAAACAAACAAAAGCCAGTTTAGCTACTTGGAAACATAACTGTTTTCATCTGAACTTCACTACCAGCAGTGAAATGAGTTTCAACTACTTTTGGGGATGGAAGAGGAAGACTGCCAAGTGCTGATCTAGAACATACCCTTATCCCAATCCCAACTCTGTTCCTCTTGGGTTTTTATCTTAAAGATGTTTTTCTCCAGTCCCTTCAGTTGACTCATTTCTTAGCCACTCTCCTGTCTCATAAAACTCATAAAACAATGTTCAAGAGTCTGACGGGATAAAGTAAGACAAGAATGACTTTATTAAAACTACAAACAACTTCCCTAACAGGTGTGTGTGTGTGTGTATATACAATGTGTTTGTGTGCGTGGATGGGTGTGTATCCCACACTTTTCCATATACAAACTTGATAAAACATGTCATGACGAATAGCGAGTACTTCATAAGTACCTCCCTCCCCACCAGTTATCTGAATGGACCACACCAATACGTTTGCTAACACTGCCCCACCTTTTAGCCTACTCCGTTAGCATTCTCCCTGTGGTCAAACTATTGACTCAAATTTGTTCACTACCTCTCCTTTCTCATTCTTTGAAAATCCAAGAGCCAAGTATGGTTGATGGTTATTTCTCCCACTTGAAACATCCCTTCTGTGCATTTAGAAAGCAGTGACAAATGACAAATTTCCCTCACTGGGGGCCAGACCTGGGGTTCTCAAGACACTACCGTAATGGACATCCGGACATGAAATGACAGCCACAATACTCACTGTCACTATCAAGTCCACCCAACTAGGGGCTATCACACCAGGTGCCTGTCCAGATTCCTATCAACAAGAGGGGTCAGCAATGCGTCTACCGAAAAAATGGCCTTCTCCAACCTCACCTCAGCTCCTACAGCAAACCACCTAATAACAGCACGAGTTCTTTCTACTTCAAAATAGAGACGTGAGTGTCTGCGCAGGCTGAGACTTAATAAATGACAGTCATTCTACTCCGCAGACTTAGCTGGCAGAAATGTATGTGGGTGACGACTAACTTTACGGGGAAGGAAGGGTGCTTCAATCCTAGCACTCCCCTTTCCCGGCGCTGCCACGGAAAGTGGAGCCCCAAACCCTCGCAGGCGCCGCAGGAGGCTCCTTGGGGAGAGGACAAAAGGCAACAGCCGGTGAAGACTCACCGAGGCCGGCCGCTGAGGGGCCAAGGGAGGCTCGGAGCTGACGTCCATCCTCTCGGTTCCGTCCGTCTCGTCGTCCGCCATCTTAAAGGAAACGAACGTCCGCAGTTCCCGACCCCCGGCCGCCAGCTAGCGGAAACCTGTGGCCGGCCCGACGCACCAGGGACGACACTTTTACGACGGCCCCTGAAGTCGGGTTTGTCGCAGCACCCGGAGCGACTTCCGGTCGGCTTCCCGGAAGCAGGGTCCCGACCCGCCAGTCCGGACGTTTCTGATCTTTGGTTCCCCCCGGGCTGAGGCCGAAGGGAAGTCCTCACAGCTGTGTCTTTAGCCCTTCATCCGCGGTAGGCGTGGGGAGATGACAAAACTGGGAAACCTAGCCCGTTTGTCGGTAAGGGAAGACAAACTGGATATAACCCCGTTATGGAATACCACGTGGAAAGAACAAGGAAGATGTACGGAAACATCCAGGGAAAATCGTTGCCACAGACTGCATATGCACAAATGCATAAGTGTGTATTGTGCGAAGGAATAGTTCTGAACTAGGAGAAAGCACCCAAGGCCAAGACCAGGGTCGGAGGACAAAGGTGACCAAGAACTAATGTAGCATCATCTGTTGTTTCTGTTTTTCAGTTTTTTACAAAACGAATAATCACTCTGTAGCCCAATTTGGCCTCCATTTCCAAGCATTCCTTCCACCTTGGCAATCCAAGTGACATGTCAGCCACCTGGCCCCTTTAAAAAAAAAAAAAACCAAAACTTTTTAAATCTTTACTGACTTAATTGTGTGTCTATACATTTAATTGTGTGGTGCATGCACGTTCCGGGATTCATGTTTGTGAGTCAAAGGACAGTTTGAAGGGATTGGTTCTCTGCTATCTTCTTAAAAATATCTAAAGGTATTTTTAAAACAGGATCTGTAAGATCAAAGTTTCTTCAGCATGACTATAGATAGAGGCAGAACTAAAGTACAGCTATCTTCTATTAAATTGGAACTTAAGAAATCTGCAAAAGTTAGTCATTCCCACGTTTTTGGATAATTTTTTGTTTATAGAGTTAACTTTCATTTGAAATGCTATTTACTCCTGGTATAATAGCACATAACCTTTCAGCACTACGGGAACAGAGGCAGGCGAATCTCTGAATTCATGGACAGCGTGGTCTACGTAGGGAGTTCTAGGACAGCTAGTGCTACACAGTGAGACCTTATCTCAAAAACAAAACAACAACAACAAAAAAGTTGTTTATGTTACGTTTAAATGGTTATAAACCAGTCATGGGTGGTTTACAACGATAATGCTAGCTAGCATTTGAGAGGCTGAGATAGGAAGGTTGTTATAGGTTGGAGGCAGCAGAACCACGTAGCTCCAGGTCAGTCTAGCTGCAGAATGAGGTCCTGTCCCAAAACAACAAAAGACAGAACATGTTTGGTTACATGAAACCCCATATAAAAAATTTTAAGATAATTAAAAATTTTTTTTCCATCTTAAATTGTAATTAGGAAATATTGATACAAAGCACATATGCAGAAGATCCTGGGGAGAGGTCCAATAATTTTAAGGAGTTTAATCTTGAGAAACATGGTTGTAGAATCATTCTTTCTATCTTGAGATGAGACATCGTTGGGTGAAAAATCCAAGCAACCTAAAACAATGTTTTGTAAGACCAAAAGATACAGAGGAGGGGCCAAGGACGGCATAAGGCTGAACTTGTGATGTTGGTGTACTTTTAAAAAACTCTTTTATTTACATTTCTTATATCTCTTTCTTCGTACTCCACCCCAATCCCTTCCAACGTCCCATCACCAGGTAGGAAAGAGATGGGGTTAGTGGGAGAGAGGGTACAGTTCTCTTTCTTAGCTGCTTCCTGCTGGTTAGGGTCCTCGGGTTCCTTGGAGCCAGTCCAGTCCTTATTCCAACTTCTTGTCTTACTGTATCAGCAGCAACCTTGTTCTTTCTCCTCTCTATACTATGGCATTTATTTTCTCTCCAGAGTCCTCAGATTTAAACTGTCTGCAGCTGGCAAAGGGCACCTCTCAGAGCCTGCATGAGGCAAATAGTTTGCCGCTGTGGACTATCGGAATCAGTTCCACATTCCTACACCTGGGACCCAAACAAAAGCATGTTCACATCCACAACATTGTAACTCATTGTAAAGTGCTTATCTAACATGCACAAATTCATGGATTCAGTATACACACACATAAACACAAACACACAAACCAATAATAATACATGCATCTGTAGACTAGGGTTATAGTTCAGATGTAGAGTGTTCATCTACCATGCACATTATCCTGGACTTAATTCTCAGCGCTTTAGAAAGCAGCTGTTTTTACATTATACGTGTATAATTGAAACCAAAATGTTATTCTTGTGCTAATGAAAAAAAATTTAATGACAAATGCTAGTCACTGTCTTAGGGTTACTGTGATGAAACACCATAACCAAAGTAGCTTGGGGAGAAAAGGGTTTATTTGGCTTACACTCCCACATCACTGTTAATTAGGGAAGGAAGTCAGGGCAGGAACCAGGAGGCAGGAGCTGAGAATGAGAAGGGCTGTTTGCTTTCTTCTGCTTGTTCATCATGACTAGCTCAGCCCAGGGGTGGCCCCACCCACAGTGGGCTGGGCCCTGCCCCATCAATCACCAGTTAAGAAAACGCCCTATGTGCTTGTCTACAGACTGGTCTTGTGGAAGCATATTCTCCATTGAGATTCTCACCTTACTGATGACTAGGTTGTATCTGTATGTAACTGGCATAAAACTAGCCAGCACAATCACTAAGATATTTTTAATTTTGTCTCCATTCTCACACAAAAACAAGTCCTTGGTGTTCCTATAAAATACACCTTTTGCTAGGTGGTGGTGGCACACACCTTTAGTTCCAACACTCAGGAGGAAGCCTGGTGTACAGAGCAAGATCTAGGACATCCAGAACTACACAGAGAAACCCTGTCTCGAAAAATCAAGCCAAACAACCAAATGAACAAAACAAAACAAACCATCACCACCAACAACAAACCTATGCATTTTTGTTTTAGATAGGTAGAGGTGATTTTATCAAAAGTTAAGTATTCTGTTTTCAAAATGCTTGCAATCAGAAGTATTTTGGATTCCTTTTTTTTTTTTTTTGAGGAGGGGAGGATGTTTTCACATCCATACTAAGATGTCTATATAGACCCAAATCTAAACACAAAATTATTCCCTGAGTTTCACAACTGGAAATTATTTTCTACTTTGTATTTCCTAGTTTTTCTTAAAAGTAAGTACCAGTTTAAAAGTACTAAAAATAGCACTAAAATGTTTTTAATTTTTACGTTTATTTTTATTTTATGTGTCTGGGTGTTTTGCCCTCATGTATGTCTATGTACCACCTGTGTGCAGTGCCTAAAAAGGCCAACAGAGAAGGGTGGATCCACTAAAACTGGAGTTACAAATGGTTATGAGCCACCGTATAAGTGCTAGGAATTGAACCCAAGTCCTCTGGAAGAGCAGCCAGTGCTCTTAACTGCTGAGTTATCTTCTCTAGCCCCCTCTAGTATAATTTTAAAAGACCTGCCCATCTTTTAAGGAAAACATTTTTAATGTCTTTCTGCTTTCCTAACCGATGGGATTGGGCCCTTTTTTCCTGTTGGAGGAATAATTAACTATATTCCTGGCTTCTAGAAGCAAAGTTATTCATTAGGATTCAGTATATTTTCTTTTTACTACTGCCTGGTTTTTAAAGTTAGGAGCATTAGCCTTTCTGAGATGGTTTTCTCATCTACAACATAGATGCGTGTATGATGGTTGTGAAGATTAATGTGATACCATTGTAAGACCTGGGGTCTCACAGCTCAGGAGTTCAAGATCGTGCCCTTCCCAGAAACTCCCCCAGACCACGACTCGTTGCAAAAGCAAGAGGTTTATTAACCATTGCGCAGTGGGGTCACCCCTGCCGGTCAGCAAAGAGTGGCACCGGGAGACAAAGGCCTTTAGGTTTTTAAAAGAAAAATTGCAGGAGATTTGAAGTTGCAGTTCTGGCAATTTAGGATTGGATGAGGAAGCTATAAAGTAAGATAATTGGTTAGTCTTAGGTGCTCAAGCTTGGCCAGTCCTGCCAAGTGTGGATGCAGCTGCAATTGAAGGTGGGGGTGGCTAGCTCATCCTTGAAGATTAGGGGCTGTAGACTTTTGGCTGGAGGTCAAAAGCTACTCAGAAGAAGTCTAGGTTTGTTGCTAAGAAATGCTATCTCAAAGACAGGAGTTTTTCTTTTTGCTGAGTGAAGGTCATTGCTTGCTTGCCTTTTTTTCTATCTGTCCTCATAGATAGGGTCACATTTTTCCATTCTCTGGAAAGGTACTAAGATGCTTTAGCTTAACCTGAACCTAAAACTCAAAACTATAGGCTTTAGAAGACATACAGGTTACAAAGTTAGTCTAACCCTTTCACCATCACATCGCAAAAGCCCAGAATGCTTAGTTTCCTATAGTACAGTGTTTGGTAATAGCTACGAGACACGCCCTACACCCTGTAGTTTTCTTGTATACAAACGCACTTTCATATAGGGAGCAGGGTGTCAGGGATCAGCATACAGTCTTTCCATTCTGGAAGTCCTGTTAGGCAATAGCACCCCCAAGCAAGAGTCTAGAGCTTACTACTGGTTGGTATGGTTAGGTAACGACGTCCATCGGGCCTTGCCCAGACTTCTTTGTTCTTATGCTTATTGCCTCTATTCTAATGCAGGGAATAAAGGTGCACAACACCATGACCAGCCTTTTAAAATAACTGCAGAATTGTAAATGAGGTTGCTATTATAATATTTTATGGGGTATTCATTTGTTGTTTTTAGACAGGGTCTCACTATGTAGCCTGGAACTTGCTAAATGTCTTCCCCAGTGCTGTGACAAACAGTGCCACCACCCTCAGCTAAGTGTTTATGCTTTCTATGTATGTTGGCTAAATCAGTCATCCCTGGCATAAGTTCTTCCTAGCTATGATGTGATTTTTCTTTCATAATATTTTTCAGAAACTTGTGTTTGACCTTTTAATTTCTATTCATAAAATTAATTTATGTTACATATCTTATACACTTTATAGACATGGCATGGATAATTTTGTTCATGAAACACAGTTTTATAAAATGAAATTTTCTACTTGTTGTGTTATGTAGCCCAGGCTGGTCTTGAATTCCCAATCCTCATGTCTCTAACTTGCAAGTGTCAGATTATGCCTCCAATTTGCAAGTTGGGAGTACAGCTATGTGGCACCACTTTTATCTCCAGATTTTTTTCTTATACATATTGTTGTCAGACTCTCTTACCTATGAATAATGTATGAAATTTAATTTGCTCTAGGATAAAACTTAACCTTGAGCATGCCACTCAAATCCATTCCAAATCCACTCTGAAATGTTTTTTGCCAGTCTAACCTTCCTTGTCATCTCTGAAAGTTTATTCGCACCTTATTTCCTACAAATACACTGTAGAGTCTCATACTTCTGTGCTCTTGCATTGGTTGGCCTTGATGGTGTATGATATTGTATCATACTGTAAATTTTTAGGAAGTTCATTAGCTGTTATTAACATGCTTTCACACCAGATATTTATCTTCAAAATGACTTTAAAGTTATTGCATGGTATTTTCTAGTGTGTGTCATTTTAAAGATTTTGTTTTGTTTATTTGAGAAAGGGTCTCACTATGTATTCTTGACTGAAGATTCGCCTGCCTCTGCCTCCCTGAGTGCTGGGTTTACAGGCCTGTGCCACCACACCCGGCTTGTATTGTGGAAAATGTACTGTAGATTTTTTCTAACATTTTTCCTTTCCTCTTACAGTTTAATTTTTTTTAACATTTTATTTGTAGGGACTGAAGAGATGCCTCAGTGGTTAAGAGTACTTACAGCTCTTGCACAGGACTGGGATTTAGCTCTTAGTACCTACATCACAGTTCACGACAGTCTGTAATTCCCTTCTGAAGGACGCCCTCTTCTGGCCTCCATGGCACTGTACATACATGGTGCACAGACCAACATACAAGCAAAACACTCATTCACATAAAATTAAAAGATATATTTAAAAAATCTTTTATAATTATGTTGTTTTTGAACAGGGTCTCTCCACATAGGCCTGGCTGTCCTGGAGCTCATTATGTAGAACAAGCTGACCTCAAACTCACAGAGATCTGTCTGCTTCTCTCTCCCAAGTGCTGGCAATAAAGATACTTTTTTTTTTGTACTTAATTATATGTGTCTGAAGGTGGGTTTGTACAATCCAGTGCATTGTCTAAAGAGACCAGAAGAGGGCGTTGTGTCCCCTGGAGTTGGTAGGTGATGGGGACCAAAGTCTTATTCTTCCCTTGTTTTCTGTTTATATCAATGGCTTATATTTCAGAGATGCTGAACGAATTGAAATTTGCATAAATTACCACACTAACAATATATCACAAGGAAATAAAGATTTTTAAAAGCACTATTTGTATGGAAATGTCTATTCTGAATAGCAATGCTTAGTAAAGAGTTGAAAGCCAACAATAAAGGAGTGGTTAAATAAATTAAGACCAGGACCTAATTCTCCTGCTCTCGGCTTGTACGAAATATTAATTGACAGGCATACTGCAGTGCCACAGTACCATATAACGAACACATACAAAATCAGGCTAAGGAAAAGATAATTCCCACAAGTTAAGAAATCCTGTGGGGTTATGCTATGCCAGAGCGAGCCGCCTGTCGCGTTTGTACTTTAAGAGGCGTCCTCACACATACTTTGATTCTCACGAGCACCCTGCACTCACGGGAGGTATCATTACCTTCGCTTTACAAGGGCAGAGGTGGAGGTCAGGGAAGTCAGATCCCGGAGGAGCCGGGCGGCGCGCTGCCTCCCCGCCACCCCCTCGCTTTGCCCCTCCTGGCCCTCACTACGTCGGTAGACGCCAAGGAGCCGGGCCGCCGGCGCTGGCCCGGGCTGCGGACACGCGCGGCGGCCGTAGAGGCCGGAAGTGCCGGCGGCGCGCTCCCGGGGCCGCGCGGCGATGGCGAGGGTGCTGGCCCTCCGAGTGGTGGCGGGGCTCGCGACGGCGGCGCTGGCCGCCCTGCTGTTGGAGCACTACGGCCTAGCGGGGCCGTCCTCGCTGCTGCCGAGGCCGCGAGGCGCCCCGAGGCCGCAGCCCGCCCCGGGCCCGGCTGCCCGCAACATCTTCTGGGGTCTGCAGGTGATGCGGCGGGAGACCGCGGGAGGCTCAGCCCGGCAGGGGGCCTCGGCCGCGTTCTGCGTGGAAGCATCTCTCTCTCTCTCTCTCTCTCTCTCTCTCTCTCTCTCTCTCTCTCTGTCTCTCTCTCTTGCCCTTCCGCACCCGAGAGCTGCTGGGCCACCCCTGTCGGTGCGGCGCTCCCTGACTCAGATTATGTGTCTCTGTCCAATGCTTGCTTTTGACAGATATCCGACATTCACCTGAGCAGGTATCAAGATCCAGGCAGAGCGCTGGCTTTAGAGAAGTTCTGCTCGGAAACTATTGACATCATACAACCAGCTCTTGTCCTGGCCACTGGTAGGGAAGATTCCTGTGCTGTGGTGGTGGTGTTCTGTGGTCCTGATGGTAGAAAGGGCAGCAGCTATTAGCTGCTAAACCTTTTGAGGCACAGGCAATGGGACTTTGTAATTGCCTTTACCAGGGGATAATGGGGTCCAGGCTAAATGCTTTGCCATTTCAAGGTTTTCTCAAAGCAGTAGGAAAAAGGCTTGAGATGCTTATGGCCAGACGTTGTCTGCCAAATTTATGGTGTGATGTGGTGTGGTGTTTGTGTGTTAATGGTGATGAATGATGGGTGCTGGCTGATGTCCTGCTGAATTTGAGAATTAGGAAAAATCCTTTAACCGGTAATCAAAAGTTCTTCTTAACTGACTTAAAATTTTCTATACCAAGAGGTTAACCTCATGTTTTCAGTTGTTTGAGGACTCAAGTGATTTCATCCCTTGGTAGTTTTCTGACTGCATTTCCTAGACTCCTCAAACCGGTGTGCCTGTGCCCCCAAAGGTTGGGGGTGAGGGTGGGGTTAGGAAAAGCTCCTAGGAGTATCTGTTATGTTTATTGGGTGGTTCAGCTGCCACTCACTCTTCTGAAACATGTCCACAGTCAAGATGAAGTATCAGCCCTCAGATAATGAATAAGCCCCTGCTTCAGATGTTCTCTTTGCTTTCCTAGAAACTTTGGTATTTTATTGTTCAAACCACATCTTCCAGATTGGTTTTTGCTCTGAAATAGTGCGTGGTCACACGATAAATCCTGATTTGGGGTTTGGAAAACAACTGTTGCAATAGATAATAGGCGCTTGCCAGAATGTTGCAATGTCTCATAAAGGAGTTTCATTTAGTCTGTTGGTGAATTTTGTAGTCTCTCCTTCTCTCTCTCCATTTGTTTATTTATTATGTATACAATGGGCTGCCTGCACGCCAAAAAAGAGTACCAGGTATTTTTACAGATGATTATGAGCCACCACATGGTTGCTGGGAATTGAACTCAGTACCTCTCTAAGCCATTTCTCCAGCCCATTGTAGTGTTCTCTTTAACCCCCCCCCCACTTCTAATATCAAAATAGACTACATAAACACTAACTTATAATAACAGAGCCCTTGCTGAGACAATCTTGTTAGTTTAAGTGGCTTGCTTTGGACAAGTGTGAATCCATAATTGATTTCATGGACGTGTGCTGAATAGTTTAAGAAGTTGTGTTCCTTCAGCATTCTTGTTTGTTTGAGCCCCCTGGAGTTTAGTTTACACTTCAAGTCAACTCTGTACATGTAAACCCACAGGAGACCTGACGGATGCCAAAACAAAGGAACACTTGGGATCCAGACAACATGAGGTAGAATGGCAGACTTACCAGAGAATTCTGAAGAAGACAAGAGTCATGGAAAAAACCAAGTGGCTGGATATCAAAGGAAATCATGGTAAAAGCCAAGAACAGGATAGAATAAAGCATATATATGTTATAACATGGAAAATTGTAACATAAACTTAGATATGGTGAGGGCCACGTCTCATGAGCAACTATAATATATCATATTAAAACTTCAGAGACATATGGATTTCTATGAGATTGAGGCCAGCCTAGTATATATAACAAGTTCTAGGTCAGCCATGCTACATAGCAAGACCCTGTCTCAAAAAAAAAAAAAAACAAAAAAAAACAAAAAACTCCAAAACATTGAGGTGTCACTGTTAGCCTTTTAGGTCAGTATGGCATTTTCTTCTCTACATGGGAGAAAGAGTTCCTCAGAAATCGTTGTGGGATTTCTAGTCTGGACTAGAGACTCTGCTTAGAAACACTTGTTATGATTGTATAGATCAGGCATGAACTTATTTTTTTTTCCTGACTCTATTATCCCATGATTAAAACAGCAGCAAGACAAGTATGGTAGCATATGCCTGTCCTCCCAGCGCTAGGGAGAGGGAGACAGGATCACAGAGTTTTAAGCCAGCATGAGCTACCTAGCAAGTTTCAAGCAACCAGCAACAACAGTCTAGTCTTAGAACTTTCAAATTGACTTGTTCTGAACAGAATCACAATGCACCTACTATTTATTCTTCAGTGCGCTCGCGCCTTAAAACTTCCAGTTAATCTGAGTTCAGTGAAATTACTACTTTTAAAATATGCAGTTGAGGGACGCTTTGCCATTTAAAGTGTTATAGAAAGTGATGAATGTTTGCTTTTTTTCCTTTTAGATGCATATAACATTCCAAGTCTGGAGAGCATTGTGAATTATTACAGGTGCGTAAGTGACCACAGCACAGACTAAGAAGTAAGCAAAGGGAGGGTAAAGGCCATTCGATGAATGAAGAAAATCATTTTAACAGATGACATTTCTGTATAAAGAACTTTGGATAACTTAGAAAATGAGCCCTGTGTGTGTGTGTGTGTGTGTGTGTGTGTGTGTGTGTGTTCGTTCGTGTGTTCGTGCGCGTGCATTACAATCGATCCTGTTTAGAGAATGTTTTACTCTGCTTTGATACTTTTCGGATTTTGCAATGTTGCACAGGTTGGTCTGGAACTTCTAATTCTCCTTCCTACCTCAGCCTCACATGTACTAAGAGTATAGGCATGAGCCACCATGCCTGGCTCTCTCTTTTCCTTTTATCTTCATTCATTCATTCATTCATTCATTCATTCATTCATTCATTCATTTTCCTTATTTATTTGTTGGTTGGTTGTTTTGTTTGAAATAGTCTCACTCTACAGATCGGACTGGGATGGCAGGAACTCACAGAGATGGGCCTACCATTATCTACCTCAGGAATGCTAGGATTCCCAAATCCTACCACACCCAGCTTCCTTTAATTTCTTTGGTTCCAGTTGGCACTTAGCGAGTATTTAGATCAGATCTTGTAACTGAACTACTGAGGTCAGTGGGTTTTCAGAATACTGAGATACTGATTCTGTCAGCCTCTGGAGTGGCCACAGAGATCAGTGGTCAGCCATGACTGTTGTATCCTTCCATCTGATTAAAATAAACATTCCATTTTTTTCTGTGTCATGGATGTGACTCACCTAGGCACCTCTGTGTCAGAAGCAGTCTCTAGTTTCAGTGTGTTTAGAATGCTTCTTTTGGTTGTAATTTCCCTTTTAGCTCCAGGATATTGTAGAGTTTTAGTCTGCTTTGCCATTTAATCAAGTTAAGAGCCCTTCACTGGTTGTGCAGTCTCCGGGATAGAAGAGCTAGTGCTAACAAATGGCCCCTGACTTCAAGGAGTTTACTTCCATAGTACTTAGGGAAGAGAAGATATGCTGGGGAACCACTAGAAAAGAATGTGAAGGGGAGGCTGAGGAAATCCTGCATTTTTTGCTTCAGTACAGGAAATCACAAAGATAGAGAGGTCACAGGGCAGGTACAGAGAAGGCCTTATGAAAGAGCGGAGATGTTCTTTTCTTTTTCTTTTCTTAAGACGGGGTCTCACTGTGTAGCCCTGACTGTCCTGGAACTTGCTCTGTAGACCAGGTTGGCCTCGAACTCATAGAGAGTCACCTGCCTCTGCCTCCCAAGTGCTGGATTAAAGACATGCATCACCACCGCCCAGCTGAGCAGAGATGTTCTTAACCACTGAGCCATCTCTCCAGTCCCAGAGACATTCTTAAGAGATGGGTTGTGTTTGCAAGTTCATTCCATTGGTTTCTGAACTTGAGCGTACAGAATAGTTACCAGGGATACATTTTTAATTAAGTGCCAAGGCTTTTCTTCAGGTGTTTGTTGTTGTGCTGAGTGTTGAACCCAGCCATGGCTTTGTGCAAACCCGCCATAGTGGCACATGCCTTTAATCCCAGAGGCAGAGGCAGGCAGATCTCTGTGAGTTTGAGACTAGCCCAGTCCACATAGTGAGTTTCAGGAGAGCTAGAGCCACATAGTGAGGCCCTATCTGGAAAGAAAAAACAAATGCTAAGCATCACATACTTAGATTCTGTATTCAAGTAGTTAATTTATTTGACAGGATTTTTAAAAGTTCAATTCTGGATATTGAACCTCAGGACTTGCTTATGTTAGGCAAGGATTTTACCACTGAGCAGCATCCTCAGCCCGAGACAATGGTTCTTTAGGTTTTGTTTATTTTAGATAGGGTTTCACTATACAGTGTAGCCTTGGCTAGCCTGGAACTCAATATGTAGACCAGGTTGGCCTCTCCAAGTCCAAGATAGATTTTAATGTGTCAAAAATGTAAGAAACAGCATACTTAAGATGGCCATATACTGAGGAGTAACCAAAAGCAAATTAAGCAAGCAAGCAAACAAAAAACAAATATAATTTCTAATGTATAGTAAAATGCTTAAATAGAAATTTCTTAAATTAGCAAGAAGATCATGAAACTAGTTCACCATACTTAAATCACTTTGTCTAACTTTTTATTTGTTTGTTTGTTTGTTTTGAGACAGGGTCTCACTATGTAGTCTTGGCTTACCTGGAACTCACAGAGAACCACCTGCCTCTGCCTCCTGAGTGCTGAGATTAAAGGCATACACCAGCACACCTGGCTTTAATTTTGTTTTTAGGGTCTTATGTAGCCCAGGCTGTCCTTATCAACTGATCCTTCTACCCCAATCTCCCAAGAGTGTGTCACCACAACAGTTACTTTGTGTGTATAATGTGTGTGTTGTGTGTGTTTGGCATGTGTGTTTGGTGTGTGTAGTGGTCACAGGTTGGCATTGGCCGTCTTCCTCTCTCATTCTACACCATGATTTTTGAAACGGAGTCTCTCAGTGAACTCAGTGATCACCAGTTGGTTAGAGTGGCTGGCTAACAAGCTCCGGACATCCTCCTGTCTCCACTCTCTCCCAGCACTGGGGTTACAGGCACATGCCAGCCGGTGGATGTTTGGGATTCAAATCAGGTCCTCACAATTGTGTGCCAGGCACTTGAGTGACTGAGCCATCATTTTCCAGCGCCCACTTGTTTTTTTCAAGGGAAGATGGGCTTTCTGCTCCGAAGCCTAGACTGGCTTTAAAGTTGGAATCTTTAGGAGTGCTCAGACCACAAATAGGCCACACAGTGGCCAGCTAGCTTTGAAAAACTTTTGAGTATTAATTATAATGTTTATGATAATGTATTTACTTTATATTTGATTCTGTTCTTGCTCAAATATAGATTTAAGTGTGTACATTAAAATTTGAAAGTTTGTTTCTAAGTCTTACATATTAAGTAAACTACTATATGACACTTAGATAAAAGATACCTATTTTTAAAAATTTTTATTATTATTATTTATTACAATATATTCACTTTGTATCCCAGCTGTAGTCCCCTCCTTCATCTCCTCCCACTCTCACTTTCCCTCTCTCTTCCTCTCCTTCCCCTAGTCTACTGATAGAGGAAGTCCTTCTCCCCTTCTGTCTGACCCTAGCCTATCAGGTTTCATCAGGAATGTCTGGATCTTCTTTCTCTGTGACTTAGTAAGGCCACCTCACCAGGGGAAGATGATCAAAGAGCAGGCAACCAAGTTCATGCCAGAAGTCTCTCCATGCCAGAAGTCTCTCCATGCCAGAAGTGCATGCCCCTGCTCCCCTTGCTAGGGAACTCCCATGGAGACTGAGCTGCCCAAGGGCTACATCTGAGTAGGGGGTCTAGGTCCTCTCAATGCATGGCCCTTGGTTGTTTCATCAGTCTCTGTTGGCCCCTGGGCCCAAGATAACTATTTTTTAATAAGGTTCTGACTTTTGAATAATACAGGTGTACCTCTGAGGAGGTCCCTTCAGGTGTCATACAGGGAAGCAAACCACACAAAGAGGTAAGAATGAAAACTTGGTGCAGATTGACTTTGTCAGCCTGGATAGGACTTTGGGGAGGTTAATGCCAGGAAGTTCATTGTCAGCATCTTTAAAACAGTACAATTTTGGGGGAAGGTTTCTAGGCAATAATCAGTCCAATCAGTCCAATTCCAGATGCACAATAAAGTTAAGGTGTGGCTACATGGAAACTCTTTTACAAAGTACATGTGACCGTAGGTACATAGATAAAAGGCCTAGAATTTAGTATGCTCTCATCAGGCTATGAATACATGTGACATCTCCCCTAAGGATAGATAATGGTCGAGGAAAGGAAGAATCTGGAGTGATCATTCTGGAGAATTTTGATGAGGTATGTCCCTTTGGATAGCAGAAAGGTCACTGGGTTATGAACAACTTTTACTCTTAGGTTTCTGGGTGGAATGCAGGTATTAGTTTTGTTTTTTACACTGAGGAGACACCCCTGTGTGATTAACAGTCTTGGCTCTCTTAGTCCTTCTCTGAGTACAAGGACCTCTCTGATGCCAACATACCTCCAGTAGAATCTGTGCTTTCTTTTTTATTTATTCAACAGATAATGATGGATCCCTACTCTATATTAGTACATCCCTTCCACTCTTCACCCTCCTACTTCATGGATACCTGAACATGCTTTATACCTAAGATACTGAGGACATTCATTATCAGGTGTAGATCCTGTAAATATTACCAATATATATTTTAGAAACTAAAAAAATTTACATACATGATTCTAAGCTAACAGTTTTTCCCTAGCTTGATAACTTGTCTTGTGATACTTTCTTACAGACTGAGCTTCTTTAGGCCCATTTCAACAAATAAAAATCTCCGTCTTTCCCCATACCAAGGCTTCCAGACTTCCAATACATACTTAGTAAGCTCTCACTATGTTTTTTTTATCTCTTTTGCAGTGCTAGGTATCCAATCCAAGCCTTGCTACCATTGAACTACATTGCAAATCCTCACTGAAGTTTTTTTTTTTTAATTAATTTCTTTTATTTTGTGTGTATGAGTGTTTTTGCATGTACATATGTGTCCAGAAGAGTGTGTTGGATTGCCTGGTGCTGATAATAACAGGCTTAACATAGGTGCTAGGCGCTTGCTGGGCTCCTCGACGAGAATAGTATACACTCTTAGTCATGGAGTCGCTTCTCTAGTCCTGACTGAAGCTTTTAGAGATTGACAATTAATAGCTCACTGGATTCTGATTTGTTTCTTTGTGACAGTTTAGGGGACAGTTTAGACTAGTTAACACCTGTACTTTGCTTGGTGACTTTGTGTTTTGTCGTGGATTCATTAATTGAGATGAGTCCTTGGAGATACTGAGAGGCAAATGTTGAAATGTAAAAATATAACCCTTTGTGAACATGTACATCAGGAAATCGCTTTTTCAAATGGAAAATCTTTTATTTTCCTTTTTTTTTTTTTTTTTAAATCCCAGGGTTAGGGTTTAAAAGAAAAAACGCTCAGGGCAGGGAAGCTGTAAATCTCAATGGAAGAATATGGAGGAGAGGAGTCATGCCATTTAAGCCTCCCTGGTGGTCAGACACATGGTGGACAAGCAGTCAGTGGTGGGGAAGTGAGTGTTAGAGAAAGTCAGGAAGCCCAAGTATCAGAAAAAGCATGCTTAGGTTCTGGCCTCAATCAGGTTAGGCCTCAGTCAGGCAGTTACCTCATGGTGGCTCCTAGTGACTGCACTGAGCGTTGGGAATCCTGGGAAGGAAAAGTAGCATTATCTCATCAAAGAAGAAATGATCCCACAGCCAGATGTGGTGGCACATACCAGCACTTTAATCCCAGCAGGCAGATCTCCCGACTTAAGACCGGCCTGGTCTACAGAGTGAGGTCCAGCCCAGCCAGGGCTTTTCAGTGGGGCCCTTACTCAAACAAACCAAAACAAAACAAAGAACTCACCCAAACCCAGTAAATAAATAAGTTAATGAAAAAAAAAAAATGTGTCTCTCTTTAGCATGGCTTAAAATGATTCTGCCTTCCCTAGGGGTGGTCCACTGGCCAGGTGACTGACCCTGCCCAGTTGGAATGTTTGGTTTCAGTGCAATCCAGAGATTCTATTCTCTTGACTAGGAGTTTCTTTCTTAATGAGGCCTCAGTACTAGTCTAACATGAAATTCAGTCTTTTTGTTATTGCACTAAAGCCTTCCTGTCTGTATCTTTTTAGGAAATACTCTGCTGTGCGTAAGGACGGCTCTTTCCATTATGTCCACAGTACCCCCTTTGGCAACTATTCTTTCATCTCTGTGGATGCCACACAAAGGCCAGGGCCTAAGAGACCCTATAATTTCTTTGGAATTTTAGATGAGGTATGACTTGTAAATTTCACTTCCCTTTGCAGCTTACCTGTTTCTATTTTTTTTCTTAAATATTTTGGATCATTTAGTTATCTTAAATAACCATATTCCTATCTAGATATGCTCAAGAAAAACTTTACTGTGACTACAAATATGTCTAGAAGCTAGTAGCTCCTTCAGAATTGTTACCACCATCCCTGTTCTTATCCCAAAAGTTGGGAGGGATGCACTTCACTTTTTATACCTACTTAGCAGACATTTGCCAAATATGTGTTGAGTATAGGATATATTCAGCAAGCCGTAGAGCATATATATTATTAGATTCCCACAATTGCCAATACTAGTTAATGGTCTGTATTTTTTTCTAATAAGGAAACAACTCGAGGATTTTGGCAAGGCAGGTGAAAATTTGTCATTTGTAAAGGCACGTCTGAGAAGCTCTTGTTATGTCTTAGTATAACAAATGCCATTTCCTTATTTGATGAGCACATGTTCTTACATGAGACATGTGTGCTGTTTATGAGAGCATAAGGTGATAAGATCAAGTAAGTAAGTCCTGAGAGGTTTGTCTAGTATTAGAGAATATGACCAGGATAGGAAAATAATAAAAACAAAAAACACTATAGTGATAGTGGGATTTTCCAAGGCTGAAAGATGTTCAGAGTTATGTGAAGGTTCTAGATGTAAAGAACACAGGATAAAGTTACATTTTGTTTCCTAATTACCAAATGTCTTTAGTGAGCTGGTGGATTTATGTTTAATCTTTTTTCTTAGAATAGAGTTTCAAAGATACAATGCACAGATCAAGTACCTAAAAAATCAGCTGTAGTGTTAACCAATGCAGAATCCCTGGTCTTTTATTATTATTTTAGATTTGTTTATCTTGTCTCATGTGTATGAATGTTTTGCCTGCATGTATGTATGTGCACCGTGTGCATACAGTGCCCATGGGAGCCAGAAGAGGGTATAAGGTCTTCTGGAACCGGAGTTACAAATGGTTATGAACTATCATGTGGGTGCTGGTAACCGAGCCCAGGTCCCCTGCAAGAGCAACAAGTGCTCTTCGCCACTGAGCATCTCTCCAGCATCTCTGAGTCTTCCTAGTCTTACCCCAGTTTACTAAATTAGAAATCCTGAGGGTAAGCCCCAGAAATTCATTGTTGTATGTATGTTACAGATACTATAAATGTATATTATATATGTGCAAAAATCTGTTTTGAAGTCGTTGTTCTGGGGTATTTTATATATACACTCATTTTAAGTGTTTGAAGAATTTACAGATGTGTTTGCTGTCATCATTTTCACATAGTCAGGCCTTAGGACATGTCTGCTATCCTGGAAAGTTTTCTTGCAGAGTCCGTCTTTACTCTGTGGTACAAGTGATTGCTCTACCAGCATGGCTTTACTCACTCTGAATTTTCAGGTGAATGCGATCATCCAGTATGCGCTCTCGGGTGTGACTTCTCATTCTCAGGGTGATACTTCGGGGATGTGTGTATGTGGCTTTGTCCGTTAGCAGTTCTTCCCCCTTTCTGCTGAGTAGTACTCAGTTGTGTAGGCATAGCAATCTTTTTTTTGGAGTTTCTAATACTTGACTGTTATGAATGGAGCTGTTAAGAGTGTGTAGGTTCGTCTGCGGACATATAACGTGTGTATGTTTTAGCATTTTGGCGTAGTGTCTCTTTCAAAAATTGTGATGTAACAGTACACGAAACTAAAAAGATTACTTGCCTCATTAAGGGAATGACGATTCCTGGCATTCCTGACACTGGAGATTGAACCCAGGGCAAAAGCTCCACCCCTGAGCCATATCCCTAGCCCTGAATAGATTAACTAATTTGTTCTTCAGTATTTTAAACATCAAATGCAGGCAGTGCTTGCCCTGCATCCTACAGTCATCTTAGAATCAAATGAATTATAAAGTAAGTGAGGACAGTTTGAAACTGACAGAGATCCATGTAGGTCATTACCTAGTAGAATTGGGGCCACAGACAATGTGATTATTGTTAGAAGCCCTAGGGGAAATGTTTAACCTTTTGGCAGTGGATTTTAGCCTGAGCCCCAGTTTAAAGATCCTTCTGTTTTTCTCCCATTTCAGAAACAGATGGCGGAACTCTCAGCGTTCTCCGAGAAAAGTAGTCAGAGCAACCAGACAGTTTGGTTTGGACACTTCACGACGTCTACCATCCTGTCTCCTTCCCCGGGGATCCGGACGGTAGTGAGGTGAGACAGACCGTCTCTGGTCATTTCCCACGGCTGACCCCACTTGCTCTCCTGAAGAGAGTTTCTTGTTAATTTGGCACGCAGGTTGCCTGGGTTCACCTGTCCTGTTTATTTTTCGTTGTTTAGCTCAGGCACAGCTTACCTGTGTGGGCACCTCCACACCCTTGGTGGACTGATGCCGGTGCTCCATACTCGTCACTTCTCAGGCACTCTGGAGCTTGAGGTGGGAGACTGGAAAGACAACAGGAGGTAAGGAGACTTCCTGACAGAGGAAATTTACACAGATTTTGCTAAAACAGTGATGCTCTCTCGTTATTATGATGGGTGATCCCAGGAAACCTTTGTGATAGTTCTGCCGTTGTTTCATGATTTTAGAGGAGAGTTCTCACTGTGTAGCTCAGGATAATCTTCAGTCCTTCTGCCTCAGACTCCCAGCTGCCAGGATTACAGATGTATAGCAGCCCTAATTCAGGATGTGTTCTTGTAAAGTAATATGTACGTCTCAATTTCTTTGCTTGTTGCTGTGATAAAATACTTTGACAGAACTACCCAAAGGAGAAAGAGTTTACTCTGGCTCACAGCTCAGGGGACATCCCATCATGATCAAGAAATTAGGGCAGCAGGAGTCTGAAGCAGCTTGTCAGGTCATGTCCACAATCAGGGGCAGACAGTACAGTGCAAAACACACAGCTCACTCCACTTATGTCACCTTGGTCCTAGCCAGGGCATGGCACCCACAGTGGGGTGGGGTGGGGGTTGGGGTTGGGGTTGGAGGTTCTTCCTACTTCACTTAACAAAATCAAAATAATCCCCCCCCCCAGGCATGCCCAAAACGCATCTCAGGTGACTCTAGGCTCTGCCAAGTTATCAGTTAATGTGTACCTGATGATCTTTTCCAATATATAAATAACAGTGATTTTTAAAATTACTTTAATTATTTATTTGTTGAAATGGAGTTTTTCTGTGTAACAGGGCCCTGGCTGTCCTAGAACTCAAAGATCTGCCTGCCTCTGCCTATCAGATGCTGAGATTAAGGCCGTGTGCCACCAGAGCTGGCTTATTTCTATTTTTTTAATTAGATATATTCATTTTATTTTATGGGAATGTTTGCCTGCATGCATTTTTACACACTGTGTTCATGCTTAGTGCCTGAAGAAGTCAGAAGGGGAAACGGATCTCTTGGAACTGGAGTTAGGAATGGTTGTTAACCATGTGTGGGTCCTGGGAACTGAACTCCAGTCCTCTCTAAGAGCAGCGAGTGCACTTAACCACTGAGCCGTCTCTCCGGCTACTATAGCACTGATGTTTACCGTCATTAAGCCATGTAAATTTTAAGACACATGCATTGGAACATAGGTTTCTCTTTTTCTTTTTTACTTTCTTTTTTTTCTTTCTTTTGAGGCATACTCTCAACACATGGGCCGGACTAGCCTGATACTGGCTTTTTAGACTAGGCTGATCTGGAAATTGTAGTAGTCATTTTGCTTGTGCCTCCTGAGAGAGCGTTTCGATCTACAGCCCAGGCTAGCCTAGGCTAGCCTCAAACTCACCATCCTCCTGACTCATCCTTTCAAGGGCTGAGTTTAGGATTTGAGCCACCACAACTGAGTTACTTTGTAGTTTTAAATTCCAATGTTAATAAGGATTGTGAAAGAGTTTAACAATGTCCAAATCTCACCATTAAAAACATTGTATTGGTGTGGGCTTGTCTGTGGACCAAACCTTCAGATTCACTGGGGCTAGAAATGTTTTTCTCTTTAATTTTGTGCCAGACGTTCTAGTATTGCTATAATAACTAGATAAATGAGAGTTCATATTTAGTATTTCATTGCTGGTAGAATGAAGAATGCCAGATCTTAGGCTTCTGATATACACATTAGGCTCAGAATAGTCTTAAAAGTACTGTCCCAATAGAGTAAACTAATTTAAAAACATGTATTTTTAAAATCAGAGCATGTAGGCATTGTTTTAGGACACAGTTAAGATTCATCACCTAAGCCCAGCTGATCAGACAGGTGTGAAGAACAAAGCAATAGGAAAGAGAGAAGCAGGAGCAACATTACCCTACATCAATTCATCATATAAAAGGCCCTAGTTTTATGGGTTTACTTTTTATCTGTCTTTTACTTTCAAGCCCTGCCCCCAACTTTGAGAAAGGCTGTCATGTAGCTCAGGCTAACCTTGAGCTCACCATCTAGCCAAGGATGACTATGACCCTGACCCTCCTCCCTCTACCTCCTTAGTGTTGGGATTTCAAGTGTGTGCCTCACACCTGACTTAGGTGGTTTGGGAACCCAGAGCTTCCTGTATGCTAGGCAAGCTCTCCACCAACTCAGCCACATCCTTAGCCCACCTTCAGGCTTAGTAAGAAGTAACTGAATTCTCTTACTCTTCTACGGCCTCCAGGTACCGGATCTTTGCCTTTGATCACGACCTCTTTAGCTTTGCAGATGTAACCTTTGACAAATGGCCTGTGGTTCTTATCACCAATCCTAAGTCGCTCCTCTATAGTTGTGCTAGACATGAACCACTAGAAAGGCTCTTCCATTCAACACACATCAGGTATGTTTTAATGTTTCAGAATTTACTTTCAGTTTGATATGGATAAAGAATAAGTTGTCATTGTTGTGATGTGAAAGCTAGGGGATGTCCCGCTTTTGATTTTTACAACAGCCTAAACATATAAACTGTTCCCTCTTTCATTCCCATTCAGTATACATATGTATTTGTATGTATATATTGTATGTATGCATGTATGTATGTATGTGCATATACCATACATACTCATAATAGCTTGGGAGTTGGGACCTGAATCAGGGTCTCATACATGTCAGGCATGTATTCTACCACTCTTTCTAGCTGCCTCCCCCCCATGTAATTTTTTCAAAGCTGATAAAATCTTTAAAACCATCCAGAAACTCAAGCCAAACATTATTTTTTGTCTATTTTATTCCAGCCTTTCCACCTTATGATATGTATGTATGTATGTATGTATGTATGTATGTATGTATGTATGTGTTTATTTATATGATGTATAACCTTATATATCTGTATTTATTTATTTATATTTATTAATTATTTGCGGGGCTGGGGATCAAATTAGGATCTTATAAGTTATAGTTCTCATCAGAAAGTTACAGACCACCACAATGATAAGGTCAAATGAAAGCCCTTTCTTTCAGCCTGAGATGGAGAGCAGGAAGAACTCTAGGACAGTGGGGTTTGTAAAGTCCAACTGCAATTATACCCTAGCAAAGGCAAGCAAGGGTCAAGTGTTTCAAAGCGTCACTGTTTTATATATATTGGTTTTTGAAACAGCATTTCTCTGTGTAGCCTTAGCTGTCCTGCAACTCACTCTGTAGACCAGGCTGGCCTTGAACTCACAGAGATCCACCTGCCTCTGCCTCCCAACTGCTGCCCCACCACTGTCTCTCTAAAAATTTATGTTCTTTTAAATGTTATTTTGAAAAGTAATCTAAGCCAGGTGTAGTGACTCATGTATTTCCAGCATCTGATAGACTGAGGCAGAAAGACAAGCAATCCTTCCTAACAAGTCTGGGAGAGCACAATGATGGGACTATGTGTATGTTTGTCCATTTCTAAAGAGCTGCCATTAGCACCTCTGGGCACTCCTTCTCAAGTGTTCTCCATAGGACACATTCTTATGCTGTCATCACAGGTCACAGTCTAAGCGGATTCCTTTCTTTGTGCACAAAGATCATACAACAACTTAACTACTTTGTTGGTTTATTCATGAAATGTTAGGATTGTTCTTATTTGAGGATGAACACCTGTTAGAAGTTGGTTCTTCGCCCGCTTGAGTGATTTCTTTCTTTCTTTCTTTCCTTCTTTTTTTTCCTTTCCTTTTTCCTTTTTCCTTTCTTGACACGATTTCTCTGTATAACAGCCCTCGCTGTCCTAGAACTCATTCTGTATCTATAGAAAGCCTGGCCTCAAAGATCCACCTGCCTTTGCCTCCAAGTGCTGGGATCACAGGTGTGCGCCACCTCACCGGGCTTCGATGAATTCTTAATGATGGTGTTGTAGAAGTGGGTAAAAATTCTTAGGAATTTAAATTTTTATTTATTCTTTGGTATTGGGGGAGGGGCATGCAAATATCATAACATGCCTATGTATATCAGAGGACAACTTTAGGATTTGTTCTCTTCCTGCCGCCATGTAGATTCTGAGGATGGAACTCACATCATCAGGCTTAATGAGAAGCCCCTTTACCCACTGAGCCATCTCAGCAGCCCTCTCGTATGAATGTTGATGGGGTTGCCTGATTACGTTTTTATTTTGGGAGCTAAAACAATTATTCCCATTCCCTGCCCCTTCCCTAACCCCAGCCAGGGTTTCTTTATGTAGCCATGGCTGTCCTGGAATTCACCATGTAGACCAGGCTGTCCTCTGTCTCTGGAGTGCTAGAATTAATTTGGTAACTGGCCTACCACTTCTGACCTATCAATCGCATTTTTAATGGCATCTGGATAGCAGTGCCAGGTGTTATGTGAAAGGCTTGGTGGCTCAGCTCTGGTTATAGCCTTGCTTTTTCTGGGTAATGCATCAGGAATTGAATAAATGAATTACAGGTTTGATATTAGACTAACAAGGTATAATATCTTCTTGATATTCTCTTCCTAAGAATAAAACCAGGAACTCAGGAATTTCTTCAGAAAGAATTTCTGGTCCACTCTAGGCAGATTTATCAAAAGAAACTGATTTTGGTTTCTGAAAAATAAAGTAATAATTTCTGGGGCTTGGGCTGTAATTCTGTGGTAGAACACTTGCCTAACATGTCCTTAACCCCCCACACACAAACAAATAATTTCTGTTGTCTTGGCAGTTCATTACCAAATTGTACAAAGTCTTTGTACTTACATAGTTCTGCCTGCATTCATGTGTTCTCAGGTTACAGTAGTGTTCTCCTCTGTAAAAACAATGTCCTCTACCTAAAGTCATGCATTTTATATGTGCTCTTATTTTAGAGTCTTGGCCTTTTCCTCATCCCCCATCACTTCTGTCACTATTTACATTGACGGAGTCAATCTGGGCCAAGCTGCTCATTTGTCTGGCCCTATTTTCATACTGAAGTGGAACCCTAAAAACTACAGTAACGGGACACATACCATAGAAGTATCTGTCCAGGTAAGTTAGTCATTGTCAGTTTGCTGTGTCAGTGCTCGGGCTCTGGCCACAGTGAGCTCTGGTTTGGGTTTATTGCTAGTCAGCTGCTAAGGAAAAAATTTGATATACAGGAAACAAAGTTTGAATACCGTATATTTCATCTGTTCCTCTGGAAGTTACATTTTTACTTATTTTATGTGTGTGGGCAGAGAGGACTATATGATACAAATGTGAAGGTTAGAGAACAACTTGTGGGGGTTGGGTCTCATTTAAATGTACCATATAGGTCATGAGATTCTAACTCAGGGTCAGGCTTACCCGCTGAGCCATCTTACTGGCTTCAAAGCTTTTTCTTGTCCTTTGTGGCTTTCCTTCCTTCCTTCCTTCCTTCCTTCCTTCCTTCCTTCCTTCCTTCCTTCCTTCCTTCCTTCCTTCAAAAAAATCAATCTGCTAAGTCCTGGTGAGGAGGCACACACATGTAATCCTACTGCTCAGGAGACTGAGGAAAGAGAACCATGAGTTTGAGGTCAGCCCAGGTAATATAGTAAGATACTCTATCAAAATAATTCAGTCTACTGACTAATAAATGGGTAACCTGGTTCTTTCACTCATTAATGCTAAAGTTCTCACTCTTTAAATACACCATACTAGAAAGAGATAGGTAGGTGTGTGTGTGTGTGTGTGTGTGTGTGTGTGTGTGTGTGTGTGCATATGTATTTGGTTGATTGAAATCAGAATCCAAACAGGGCTCAAACAATTATAGTTAGCCAAATAGTGTCTTTTTTTTTTTTTTTTTTTTGTCTTTCATTTCTTTTGCTGTGTAGGCCCTCTCCTCACTACTGCTTTATTGTCCACTTCCTTACCTTATTTTGTAAAAAAATATTTTCTATTCTCATGTATGTGTATATGGTGTATATGTGGGTATATATACTCTGTATGTGTGTTTATGCATGTTTGGGTATGTAGTTCCGTATGAGTGTGCATGCATGTGGAGGCCTTTGGTTGATGTTGGGAATCATTCTTATCTGCTCTGCTGTCTTATTCAGGGAGGCAGGATCTCTCAGTCAAAGCCAGAGCTTGCAGGCATTGCTGGTCTCCCTAGCCAGCTTGAGGTTCCCACTTCCAACTTCTGGGGCTCGGAATTGCAGCCAGGCAGGCCACCACACCCAGCAAGGATTCATATGAGGTTTTTGGTATCCAAATTCTAGTCTTCCTGCTTGTGCACAAAGACTTCAATCACTGAGCAACTTTCCCAAACCACTGTTTTGTTTTTTGAGGCGGGGTCTCGCTCATGAATAAATTGGCCAGCCGGTAAATTCTGGGACTTGGCCTCTCTTTCTCCTCCCTGTAGGACTGGCTACAGACGTGTTTGTTTATTTGGTTGACTGATTATTTATTACCTGTGTATGTGCATACATCTGTGTAAGTATGTGCCAGGATGTGCACCTATACATGCACAGAGGCTGGAAGAAGGCATAAGGCATGTCAGATCCCTCAGAGCTGGAGATAACAGGCAGAAGACCAAGCTTGTTATATGAGTGGTAGGAGCCAAACCCCAGTGTTCACAATTGTATCATCTCTACAGCACATTCCTGGCTTTTCCCATGGATTCTGGGGATTAAACTTGGGTCCTCATGCTTCAGCATTTTGCCAGCTGAACCATCTCTGTGGCCCTTCCCTTATTTTCTTCCTCCTCTTTCTTCTCTTCTCCTACTTCTGGCTGGAGCTCACTCTGCAGACCAGGCTGGCTGCAAACTCAGAGGTCCACCTGCCCCTACTGGATTAAAGGTGTGTGCCACCACACCTGGTTCCCTCTTGCTCTTTACGTCTGCATTTTCCGTTCTCCTCACCATCTGAGCCCAGCCACTGCTTTCCTCTGTGCAGCTCCTCAGCTCCACCTCCTTCCGATTCATGACTGTGTCATCTCTACAGCCTATTCCTGGCTTTTTCCATGGATTCCATGGATTTCATGTTTAGTGTGGGAAGACAAGACTGGTCCAGGAAACCTTTCTTGTTGCAAAACTGGAAATATGTGTATAATCAGAACTGTACACATATTTAAGCATGCCTGCAAATTGCTTCCCTGCTTTGTTTCTAACTAGGACTCTGCTGGAAGAAGTAAGAGTACTCACCACATATTTTCTGCTCAAGAGAACATTCATCTCACATTTGATCCTTTGGCATCATTTATTCTCCTTACTGACCACTACATTGTGGTGAGTAAATTCAATTAAATGTTACGTGTGTACATGTGATTGTTTGTTTTTGTTTTTATTGGATTTGGTAAATACCAAATTCTAAATAGTATAGTTATGTGTCAAGGAAACCAAACTTTATAAAATTAAAAACTTACTGTTTATCTAGAAGAGTAGAGTGTTTTTTTTTTTGGGGGGGGGCGTGTGTGTGGAGAGAGAACCACTCACCCAAGGTGGTGCTCTCCTCCGCCATACGCATCCATACCAGGGATCGAATTCAGGTCCGCAAGCCTATTGCCAAGTGACTTTACTTCGGAGCCATCTCACCCACCCGGGAATGGCTTTTCTTTTCTTTCTTTTGTAAAAAGGTTTATTTATTTCTATGCGTTTGAATGTTTTGTCTGTATGTACCAGGTGTATACCTAGTTTGCTTGAAGATCAGAGAGGGCATCAGATCCCTGGCGCTGGCATTTTGGATGATTGTGAACCACTGTGTGGACTCTGGCAATCAATCCCGGATCTTCTGGAAGGACAGCCAGTGCTCTTAACACTGAGCCCTCTCTCCAGACCCCAGGAATTTCTTTTGTCTGTTTTTTTTGTTGTTTTGTTTTTTTACTTCAGCCTATATGTGTGTTTGTAGTATAACACATTGGTTGTGTTATTCTAAGATATATGAATATATTAACATATCAACACATATGTTAATTAAATAGATTTTAATGAAATATTTAACACTTAATTAAATATTAATAATATGCAAGTGTTACTAATATTTAATTAAATATGTAGGTTATGTTATTAAAATTTATTTAGGAAATCATTAAATGGATATATATTTTATTTAACCTATTTTTTTATTATAAATTAGTGCTAATTTTCCCTCTGCTATATAAATAATAATTTCAGCTAAGTTTTTCCATTATTGTTAATGTAAGTTTCTTAGGATAAATTCCTACAACTGACTTACTAAATCAAGAGAAGTCACACTCTTTAATATAACTATATAATTTGACTATTATATTTTTTCTTCTATCTTCCTCATTAAACTATAAGCTCCATGATGGTAAGGGATCTTTGGTGTGCCTTACTACATAGTAGGCCTTCAACAAATATTTGCTTTTGTTTTTTTTTTGAGACAGGGTTTCTCTGTAGCCCTGGCTGTCCTGGACTCATTTTGTAGACCAGGCTGGCTTTGAACTCACGAAGATCCACCTGCCGAGTGCTAGGATCAAAGGTGTGTGCCACCATGCCTGGCTCTAACAAATATTCAGTGATTGAGGATTTTTTGTTTCTTTGTTTGTTTTTTGAGACAGGGTTTCTCTGTGTAGCCTTGGCTGCCCTAGAACTCACTTTATAGACCAGGCTGGCCTCAAACTCATAGAAATCCGCCTGCCTCTGCCTCCGAAGTGCTGAGATTAAAGGCATGTATCACCACCACCCAGCTAATTGATGATTTTTGTTTTGTTTTTTGTCTGGTTGTTTTTGTTTTGTTTTATTTTATACTATTCAGTGGTCTAGAGAGAGGCTGTAGCAATTTATACTCTACTTCCAGGAGAGCTTCCTTATCATGAATATTAACATAAATTAAAAAAAATGATATATAGTAAAATGTTGAAGACAACTGGAACCTTTCTTAATTTTACTTCCTCCAAATAGCTTAGGGTATATGCTCACATACATAATATTTAAATCATTATTACTTCAACTTACTTTTATTACATGCATGATTATGCTTTGAAAAATGAATAATGGGTATTTGCATTTCATCATTATTTCATCAAAATTTTTATCATTTTTAAAGTTTTAGATCATTTTTAAATGAATTTATTTATTTGTTTGTTTGTTTATTTCTGGTTTCTTAAGACAGGGTTTCTCTGTGTTGTGCTGGCTGTCCTAGAATTCTTTCTGTAGATCAGGCTGTCCTCAGACTCAGGGATCCGCCTGTCTCTGAGACTGCTGGGATTAAATGCATGTGCCACTACCATCCTGGCCAATTTAAAATTTTATTTGGGAGGTTTTTTATTAATTTATTTTATTCTATGTGTTTTGACTGCATGTATGTCTGTGGGAGAATGCTAGGTCTCCTGGGACAGGAGTTACAGACAGTTGTGAGCAGTCATGTGGGTGCCGGGAACTGAACTTGGATCTTCTGTAAGAACATTCAGTGCTCTTAACCACTGAGCCATCTCTCCAGCCCTATTTGAGAGATTTTTAAGCTGATAAAAGCAAATTTTTATTTTAGCCAAAGGCTTAGCCCGAGGGATCTTTGGGGGATTTGTAGCAGCCCCTTAGGTGAAGTTTTGACAGTTGGCTGTTTGTTGGAACCACAGGGGAATAACACCAATTGCAGATGCTGATTCTGTGAGTCTGGCATCCTGCATTCCAGATAGGCTCAGGGTGATTAAGTGATGGCCTGGAGTGGGCCGCACTTTGAGAAACAAAAGCCTAGATCATGAGTCCTTTCTCAGGAATTATTCTAAGTCAATAATGTCTTTTTTTAAATCAGAGAATGTGTTTTCAGCTCATTTAGTCTGTGGTATACAATCTACCCACACCCCCTCAAATAGAACAGATTACCGTTTGGATATAATGAAACTAATATTGGTCTAAGTAAATTCAGAAAAAGCAATACCAGGCAGTTCATTATATTATCAATGAAGCAGATATTTGAGTTTTATATATGAAAAATATATTTGACCACATTTTTTTTATTATAGAGTATTTTTGTTGTCGTTGTTGATGTTAAACACAAAATCTCTTGTCTTTTTCTACACATCCTTCTCATACTGAATGTGTGAGCCTTTCTAGGCTAAAAGATTCTCCAGTTGTGGACACTGATTGGGTATTCTAGAGTTTAACTGAATTCTCATCCTGATTGCCAAGAGCAGCATAGACCCCACAGGCTGAGGACTCAGTCCGACAAAGTTGCCCTCCTCCCTACCTCCCTTCTCACAACAGTCAGGTCAAGAATGCCACCTATGCTTCAGGTGGACTGGCTACAGATTGGAGGTTCCTAAGACATCCTTTCTTGAGTTTAGTAGTTTGCTAGAATGATTCACAGAACTCAGAAAAATAGTTTTCTTACCAGATTACTGGTTTGCTATTCAAGGATACAACTCAGTATCAGCCAGCAAGAAGAGAGGCCAGGAAGCTTGCATGTGAATGTCCATATCCTCTAAGGCACACTCTGTACTAGCACTTTTGCTACCCACTAGAGTGGTCTCTTAACCCTTTCAGTTGGGATTTTTATGTGAGTTTCACCATGTAGGCATGGTGGATGAAATGATTGGCCATTAGTGAAGAAGTCAACACCCTCTTTCCTGGAGAGCAAAAGGGAATGGTATTAGGATGCAAAGCCAATCCTCAGTACATAGCCAGTCCCTCTAGCAACCAGCCCCCTATCCTCAGTGGCTTTCTAAAGCTTGTTACTAATCGCAGGTGACATTTTTTCCCCACTCATCACCCTAGAGTTGTTTCAGCAATTGGGAGCTACAAAGCAAGTATTTCAGCCGGAAGTACTCTACTGTTTTCTGTTACTGTTTATAAAATTATGAAAGTCTTAGTAGTTATGGGCAGGGACGGGGGATGAAGACTAAATTATTTATTTCTTATTGTGCCACTTTCATTTCTGATGATGAAGCCGGTTTAAAAGCCTTGTCTGGAGTAGTGCCAGCATGTCTATTCACATCACTCTCCTTCTCTGCAGGCTCGGGTCCTGTTTGTGTTGATTGTGCTGATGCAGCTTGCCATTCTGATTGCATTCCGATACCTCGCATACCCGGAGCTTAAAGGTTAGCAGTCATGAGTCCTTTTATTCTCAGAAGACTTTCATTTAACACCCTCATCACTAACAAACACACAGAGGAATCTGTGAGGTGCATTCTTCAAATGAAAGTTCTGGGTTTTTTTGTGTTGTTTTTTTTTTTTTGTAATATTTTTATCTTGAAAAATAATTCTTTTCACCCCTCCTACTGTATAGCAATAAGATGTGGCTTAATCAAAATGGGGGAAATTCACAATATTACTTAAAATGGCCAACTTATAATACCAGTATCTATTTTTATAAATAGCTAGTTAATATAATTGTATGTTTAAAATACCTTTGAATAGAAAAAATTTAATTCAAATAATTAAAGATAAGACACTAATACAGGCTTGGAAAAATTTGCCTGGGCATAATGCACGTGCTTTTAATCCCAAAACTCAGGCATGTGATCTTTTTGAGTTCAAAGCCAGCTGGTCTACATAGGGAATTCCAGGCCAGCTGGGGCTAAACAGTGACATTCTGTATAAAATTTAAGTGGTGCATGTGTAAATCTTGAGTTATGTTCACAGAACAGGCTATAGAATAGTTGTAAAGGTGACTTTACCTATATACTTGCTACCACTCCTGAGAGGAATCTTTTTCCATAAATTTGCATGATTATATTTGCCAAGCTACTGAGGTATCTTTGTAATGTAGTAATGAATAATAAGAATTAATTGATCATTACTCATACACAGCCCTTCTTAGAAGAAGGTGAATTTTCAAATAGGGGCAGTGACCAGGAATACTCCCATGTCCTTACTAGATATTTTTTCTCCTCCTCTCAATCATTTCATCACTGTTGAGAGCCTATGACTGAAGAGAATAAGCGTAGTGTCACAATTATGTCTCATCTCAGACTTCCTAAGGATGATTTCTGTGTCTGTTCTTTTTCACCACTCACCCTAAGTGACCTGTATGCAAATACCCACCTTGATGCCTTGAGCATAGTGGATGCTCTATAATAACTGATGAAGTCTTGAACCACACCATCATTAAAGAAGTCATAGAGATTTGACATGCCGCCAGGCTGCGTGGCGTGTGCATATAGTCCCAGCACAAGAGAGGTGGAGACAAGAGGCTCTCAAGTTAGAGGCCATTCTGAGCTACGTAGTGAAACTCCACCTCAGCAGCAGGAAAAAGATTTTGTGTGCCACCTTGAGAACTGCTAGAAATGCTGCTTATTTCTTCCCAGATAATATCCTGTCAATAGAGCTAGGCAACAGGCCTGGAGGCTGTTAATGACCGCTTTAAGCTTCCCATGAGTGCGTGTAAATGAAAGAATAATTTGTGTTTCCACTCGTGCTTTTCTTAGTGAAACACCTAGTTATAAACATGTTCAAGAGCCCTAGGATTGCTGGGCGGAGCTGCTGCACAGTGGTCTCCAGAGCTAGTTCCAGGACAGCCAGGGGTACACAGAAAACAGAAAATCCCCGATTTCTATATAGTAAAAACCTGATATTGACTATTGCTCTACAGAGCTGAAATACGTAGCTGGAAACAGCTAACCGTTCTCCCCAGTTTTCAACTATTTCCATCATTTACTGCTTAATCTTACTTGGTTCTGTCTCCTGCTTCTGCTTAGGCTGAGGCTAGTAAGTGGGTGGAGAACAGCAGTCCTTTCGACCCAACTTGTGTTCTTGGTGGCTTGAAAATCTGTCCCAAGCAAGGTGTGATGTGGCTCATCCTTTTAATCCTACTGCACGAGAGGCTGAGGCAGGGGGACTGTCATGAGCACAAGGACTGCCTGGGTTCAGAGCAAGTTTCAGGTCAGACTGGGCTAGAGTACAGATCTAAAAAAAATCAAAAGAGAAGGGAAAAAAAATGTTTTTGTTCCTTGAAATTTGTTGTGGTGATTCCAAACAAAAAGACTCACCTAAAGACGTTAAAAAATATATAGATTCATAGGCCAACTTAACCTACTGGATTCAAATATATGACCATCATCATGGAAATCTATTCTTAATGTGATTCTGAAAAGCAGCCAGGTTTAGAAAGTACTATTTTTATAGTCCAAGTCCAAAAAGAGAAACAAGAACTCATAGCCTTTGTGTTGAGCCTTTGATAGAGCTTTTCTGTTAACTTCTAAATCTTTAATTTTAATGTTATTTTAATTATCTGGCTTAAAAGAAATATATTTTGAGCTGGAGAGATGGCTCAGTAGTTAAGAGCACTGGCTGCTCTTCCAGAGAACCCAGGTTCAATTCCCAGCACCCAAATGACAGCCCACAACTGTTTGTAACTGCAGTTCCAGGAGATCTGACACCCTCATACCAATGTACATCAAATAAAATTAAATAAATTATTTTAAATAAATATATTCCTTTTAAGATACAAAGAATATAGTTTCAAAGTATTTGAACAAAATTATGACCACATTTTAAAGTAAAGCTATATATTAGTTTGTTAGGGCTAAAATAACAAAATATCATATTTGGCTCAAACAACAATAAAATCATTTTCTCGAAATTCTGTAGTTAAAAGTCCAAGATCACGGCTTTCCCTACCCCTCTGGGGAGGCCCTCCTTGCCTTATAGAGAGCTACCTTCTTCCCCCTGTGTCCTTCCATGAACTTCCCTGTGTTGTCCACTGTCTGTCCGTTGGCAGGTAGAGCATTATGGTGAAGGCTCCTGTGAAGTAAGAACCATGTCATATGAGGGGACTTTGTAGTTAGATACTCATATGTAAGATAAAAATGGAAAATATTTATATAATTGATATCGCTTTTACAAGTCTGTGCACTTGGATAATGAATCCAATGAAAAGAGTGGTGACTATATTGGTCATCTTTTGAACATGGCACAGTCATTCAGATCTATCTGAGAAGTGTAGTATAGGCCCCTGGCAGGTGTGTCTGTCATTTAAATGAATAATCCACACGAGAATTCAATTTATTATATATATAAAATTAGGTAGTCCCTTCTATGTTTCTGTCTATAAACTATCTTACAACAACACCCTCCCCCCCTTGAGCTTTCTAATGTCTGTGATTTTGTGTGTATCGGCTACCCAAGGGTCTGAATTTAGAGTAGAATCTGTGCATGTGGCAAAAGAGTCCATGTATCAAAATATTCACTGTGGATAAAGAAGATGCCAAAGAGATCTTCTAGAAAAGCTTTAGAGAAATTAACCTTGCATGTGTTTACCAGATTTTTAAATTTTTCTTCTGTTTAGAACCTCTGGGATTTGCAAATATGACCTCATTTTCTCTTCATATCTTGAGCAAAATAAACATCTTCTACTATTCTCTTTTGTTGCTGACCTTGTATACAGTGCTGGGTAAGTAAACTATAACCTCTGAGTTTGTGGAGAATTCTGCTGAAAAATATTGAGAATTTTGACAAAACTTATACTCCAACTTATACAATTGGCATATGAATCCTTCATAAATCATTTCCTGGGAGCTTGTTTTAGAAAATAAAGTTGTTTCTTAATATGTTTAGAGGACATGTAGTCAACGCCAAGTTAAAGTAAGGGCATCAAGAACAGTAAGGAATCGGGATTTATTTAGAAATATAGTAAAACATAAAAGTTCTGTGTAGATGCTACTTTTCACAACAGCCTTCTCCGGCTGTCTTGAAAGTTTTCTTTTTTATTACGTTCATAGGGATTTATATTATCCTCTGTCTGCTTCCTTATCAGAATATCCATGAGCATCTTGTCTCTCCTATTTATTTATATGCCAGGCACTGAGCATGATGAGTGTAGTTTGATGAATATCAATGTGGGGTTGTTTTCTTTTTGAGATGGGTTCTCACTGTATAGCGTTGGGTAATGTGGAGTTCACTATTTAGACCAGGCTGGCTTTGAACTCAGAGACCTGCCTGCCTCTGTCTCCTCAATGCTGGAATTAAAGGCCTGTATCGCCGTACCCAGAGAGAAAGGAGATTTTTAAGAACAGGAAGGAAGGACATGAGGCAGGCAGATCTTTGTGGGTTTGAAACAAGACTGGTCTATCTACATTGTAAACTTGAGATCAGCCAGGTCAACGCAGTGAGACTATGTCTCAGTAAAACAAAGCAACAACAAAATTCATCTAGAAAATAGAGAAAAAAGTCATTCCTCACTTCGATGAGGAATGACTTCAGTCGTGTCTGAAGTTGTCTACTAATTATTATACCTAATGTATCATTTAGCCACATATAGAAGAGAAAGTAAAATGTGCTAGCAAATATCTGTAATCTCAGCACCTGGGAGGCCGGGGCAGGTGGCTGTCAGTGAGTCTGAGGTCAGCCTGGTCTACATAGTGAGTTCTAGGTCAGCCAGAGCTACATAGTGAGCTTTTGTCTTAAATGAACAAGCAAACAACAAAAACCCAATTTAGCTAGCAAGATTGCTCAGTAGATAAAGACACTTGCTACCTGAACTTGATTCCCAGAAGCCATAGCTGAAGAAGAAAACTGACTCCTGAAGGTTGTCATCTGTACCATAGCATATGTCGTACACATGTGCTCATGTGCGGGCATACACACACACACACACACACACACACACACACACTATATACATATACAATATAATAAAATAAAAAGGTTTTTAAATGTAGAAACAGTAAGCACTGCAGATTTTTAAAGGCTTTTTGTTCACGTTTTTCGGGGTTGATTAGTCTGTTGTTACCTTGGCCTTGTCGTCACACTTCTGCTCCACCTTTGGACTTTATTAGTAACTTCTGCTAGAGAACAAATTAAAAACATGGCACTGCAGTGGGGTGCACTAGCTCACACCTGTAATCCCAGCACTCTGGGAGGTAGAGGCAGGCAGATCTTTGTGAGTTTGAGGCCGGCCTGGTCTGCAAAGTGAGTGAGTCCAGGACAGTCAAGGCTACACAGAGAAACCCTATCTCAAAAAAAAAAAAAAAAAAAAGACACTATATGCTTTTGTAACAATCTACACAGCATATCCTCTTTGGACGTAATTTCATGGTAGAAAATATGCTGGAGATGTTTTCAATACTTGTCTTATACCAAGGAGGAAAGCAAATGATTTGGTTCCCAGGCTGCCATCCATCAGTCAGGCTGCCATCAGCCAGCTACCAATCCCCAAAGAGCTCTGTTTGAAGAATTAAAACTAACAGCTTTTAGGATGTGTCTAAGAGTATTACCTATGACCTTTAAAGACAGAAAGTGACAGTATTTGCATCTCTAGAAGGGAAATCTGCCTGTTCCTTACCACCCTCAACAGAAACCCACACCTAAGCATGAACAGGGAGTAATAATAGTGATAGGAGCCTACTCAGCATGGTGGCATGCTAGATGAAAAACTAAAGAAGCAAGTTAAAAGGAATGTTAATTCTGATTGTGTACAGTTGATGGACAACACAATGACAGCCTTGATGAGAAAAGTCCATTAATAAGCAAAAAGAGTATATGGGTGTATTTTTTAAAATAATTTTCCATTAGAAATAGTTGAAGATGGACTGGAGAAAAGGCTCAGCAGTTAAGAGCCTGTACTGCCCTTGCTGAGGACCTGAGTTTGGGTTCCAGAACAACTACACATAACCCCAGCTCTGCAGAAACCCTGCACATCTGGCTTCAGCGGGCACTCAGGCGCATGCTTATAAGCAGATACCCACACACATGGTCTTTACAACAGCAACAATAAATCTCTATGGCATGCTTAAAGTTTTATTGTTTTAAAGAGTAAATCTCAGTTATTCAAAAGTAATATCTTTTTGCTTTTTGAAAATATTAATGTGAGGATGGAAAACAAGCTCAGCAGTTAAGAGCTCTGGATACTCACCCAGAAGACCAGGGTTCAATCCTCAGCACCCACATGGTGGCTCACAACTAGCTGTAACTTAATCCCAGGGTATCTGATGCCATCTTCTGGCCTCTAAGGGCATAGCATGCATGTGGTGCAAAGATGTGCATGCAGGCAAAACACTAATACACATGAAAGTAAATAAAAATCTCAAAAGAAATTTTAAAAGAAAATATTAATGCATCATATTAAAGTTTATTACAACAGAATGTTAGACATCTTGAGCATGATGGTGTTTTCAGAATTTACCAATTTCAAGATTATCATAGGCTGAAATGATTTCATAATTCAGAAAAGTGTGGAGAAATGGCTGATTAGAATGTCAGGTAGGAAAATAGTGATTATCAAAAGAGAGATGTCACAAAGTAAAATGCTTAGCGATATTGAGCGTGTATCTCTTGCTTGTTCTTTAAAGATGTTTCATAAAATATGCAATCAGACTTTAAATTTCATTTTCATTTCTTTACTTTCTATGTGTGTTTATATGCGTGAACACGTGTGCCACAGTGTTTCTTTGGCAGTCAGAGGATAACTTGCAAGAGTCAGTTCTCTCCTTCCACTATGTGGGTCACAGGAACTGAACTCAGGTGGTCAGGCTTGGTGACAGGTGCCCTAACCCACTGAGTGACCTTGCTGGCCAAGACTCGTGGTTTTAAATCTTCTGCTTTTCTCTCCATTGCTCTCTCAGGACCATGGTTTATTGGTGAAATAATTGATGGCAAATTGGGTTGCTGCTTTTCATTTGGAATATTTGTTGATGGACATTTCCTGAAAGGTGGTCTAACATTTATCAGTGGAATCATGCAGGTAAGAGGTCCCTAGAAGAACATCCTGGCCTTGTTGGATTAATTGCACGACAAGGATCTCCAGTCACTCCAGGCAGCATCTTTCCTTCTTTACTTGCAGGGCAGGCACTCTAACAGCTGATGTTTTGTTTGCTTCCCGTTTTCATCCTCTTCTCTTTTGTAACATCTATGTTTGAGGTTAGCCAAAAGGCCAAGAAGCAACTGCAGACATGGAAAATACATTATGGCCATTCAGTGTTCTTGTTTTTGTTTCATTGTGCTTTTTGGGGGCATGGTGGTGGTGAGGCAAGGTCTCTCTGTAGCACTGGCCATCCTGGAACTCACCATGTAGACCAGACTGACCTCAAACTCACAGAGATCTCTCTGTCTCTTCCTCCCAAATGCTGGGATTAAAGATGTGTGCCACATACAGTTTTTGTCACACTCTTATTGATGAAAATGAAATAAGAAATTTACAACAGAATAAATTTTACATTGCTAAGTTTAAAAAACTGATTATAGTGAGGAAAAATCTTTCAGAGGGATGAAAAATAGACACATAAGGAAAGTGAGTTATCTAAGGAAAATGTCATCGTACGAAAAGCAGAGCTGGGCTTCCCAGAGCTGTCGTAGCAGAAAATACATTTTTTTAAAGAGACTAGGACGTCTTCTAATCCTGGACATTTGTTTCTTCTCAGAAGGCACTTCCCTTAACTGACTCATTGCTGCCCTTCGTGCTTCAAAGAGTCTGTCTCCTAGTTACCCTTTCATGATTGAACTTAACGCAATCTATAATTATCTTTCTTATAAGTATGCATGTTTGTCTATAATGTATATGTGTGCATATACAGATATCTGTCTTTAGTGGATCCCTTTAAAATTTTTTTTATCTTATGTGCATGATGTATGTCTGTGCATCATGTGACTGCAGTGCCCTGGGAGGCCAGAAGAGGGCTTCTGCTACCCTGTTTTGAAGTTCATAGACAGTTTCAAGCGTTCATGTGGGTGCTGGGATTCAAACTTGGGTCCTTTATAAAAGCAGCAAGTGCTCTTAATCACTTCACTCATCTCTCTAGTATGCCACCCACCCACTCCCCTCACTTTTTCTTTCACTTGTTCACCAGTGTGCCTCTAACCTAGAGCCTAGCACAGTGCCTGCTATGCAATGGGTTTTGTATGAATATTGCCACATAGCAACTATACCTGGATTATAACCTAGATCTAATTTATATTTCAGTGCCCAGAATGCTACCTCCATATTGACACCTAAGTCCTCTTTTTCACTCTGCCAACATAGAGTATATACTCTGTTGTGTGCCTGTGCAGATTAATCAGGTCATTTCCAATATAAACACTGTTGTGTACCTACTCTTGGTATCTGCAGTATATATCTCTATTATAATAGGGGCTTAAATATAAATGCTACCTACCTTTAAGATAAACGAAAGGACAGGCAAATACACAGTTAACTATATATAGGTCAACCGTTTGTTCTCTTACAAACAGGTATGAGTCAATGCATTAAAAACCAGACATATGCCAGGCGTGGAGGCAGGCCGACTTCTGAGTTCGAGACCAGTGAGGTCTACACATCTAGTTTCTGGACAGCCAGACAGAAAGGAGTGCTTGCCTAGTGTATGCAAATCCCTGAGTCTGAGTTCTATCCCTATACCCCCATCCCGAGAAAAAAACATCAGACATCTAAAGACATATTAGAAGTTACTAATGCTGAGACCAACCCAAGGCTTGGTGGTAAGTTAATGGTTCTCTCTCCCTTTTTTCTAGCTTGTATTCTTTAACATCCCCTTGAAGGCTTACATATGTTGGGGCTTGCTGCAGCGGAGCTTTGGTCACAGCTTCAGGTCTCATCTCCACCAAGGAAAATACCTGACGATTATACCTGCTTACCTACTCATGCTTCTACTATACATATGGCAGATTTATTCTTGCTACTTTCTTCACGTTACATACGGCACCCTCGCCTTTGTGCTCTCCCCACTGCGGACTTGGCTGACATTGCTGACACCAGTACTCGTTCGTTGCGTGTGGACACTGAACTCCACTGAACTTGGAACATTCATGGTACAGTTAAAAAGTCATCTGAGCACCTGAAGGCTTACAGCTAGCAGCCTTGCAGAAACCCGACCTCCACATTTGTAGCCCAGATCTCTGCCCCAGTGACAGATGGGAAACCAGTATCAGCGGTGAGCTTCAAGAAGCTGCCACACCTTGGACATCTGGATGTTGGAAGTGCTTAACTACTGATCCCTGCAGTGTGGACTGCAGAAAAGTCTAACGATTGATTCTTTCTTCCTCAGGAAGCAAAGAGCCCTAATCAAGGAGATCCCCAGGTGGGGTCTGTGTGTCACTCAGTACCTCAGCACTGCTGTCTGTTAGGGTCATCTTGTGAAAATACATCCAGCCCAGGCCTGCAATTCAGGATGCCATTTTATGCCTGTGAAACCTGTGGAAACGTGGCCTTGACCTTTACCACTCTTGAAACTTTACTTCCCAGTCCATTTCCCACGGATTATGGGCTTTCTGCTTCCTTAGTCGAGACTATTTTCAACTAATCAAATAAATGAATGAATGTTAAATATCACAAATATCAGGTTGGAGAGATGGCTCAGGGGTTGAGAGCATGTACTTCAGCTCCAGGGCGACAGTTCAATTCCCAGCAACCAGATGAGGTGTCACAACTTGCTGTAACCTATGCTCCAGGCCAAAGCCTCTGGGAGCATCTGTATTGTGGGTACACATACTTACAATTAAAAATAATAAATGATAGCCAGGGGTAGTGGAGCACGTCTATAACCCCAGCACTTGGGAGGCAGAGGCAGGGGGATATCTGTGAGTTCGAGGCCAGCCTGGTCTACAAAGTGAGTCCATGACAGCCAAGACTACACAGAGAAACCCTGTCTCAAAAAACCAAAACAAACAAAAAAGATAAATATTAACAAAAAGAAACAGCACAAACGAATCTGCAATGTAGCTAAATATCTGGGAACCAGAAAATGGGCCTGGTGTTTGGGGCTTGGCAAAAGAGTCACCACGGAGCTGGAGAGTCAGCAGTTAAAAGTTCTGGCTGCTTTTCCAAATATCACAGGTTCGATTCCCATCACCCTTATAATGTAACTCCCCTGGGATCTGATGCCCTCTCAGGCCTCTACAGTACTGACATAGACATACTTGCAGAAAAACAAAAACAAAACAACAACAACAACAAAACCCTCAGACACATGGGCTGGAGAAATGGCTCAGTGGTTAAGAGCACTGTCTGCTCTTCCAGAGGTCCTGAGTTCAATTCCCACGCAACCACATGATCGCTCACAACCATCTACACCCTCTACTGCCCTCTTAGAGCACTAATATGCATTAAATAAATAAATAAATAAATAAATAAATAAATAAAATCTTTAAAAAAAAAAAACCCTCAAAAAAAAAAAAGCCAGGTCTCTAGTAGGTCAGAAGACGAGGCAGGAGTGGCAGGAGGGAACGGTGCTAGGGATGGACAAGAAAAACTCCTGAACACGGTTCTTCACGCGGCTAAAGGAAAGCCAGACGGAGGAGGCGTGACTGGGTCTCTAGGCCGCCTAAGAGGCGTGGGCGGGTTTCTAGGACGCGGAGGAGGCGTGGCCTGACGGGCCCGGCCGGGGTGGGCGGGTCTTTAAGCAGGCGGAAGCGTGGATTCGTCAGTCCAGGCTGCCCGGGGAGGAAGTGGCGGGACACGCTGTGTGTGTTGCCGGAAACGAGACTTTCCTCAGCACCGGAAGTGCTGTGGCAGGGTCTGGTGGTTTGAACATCTCGGCTGGGTCGCTGTGAGAGGCTGTGATGGCGAGCTCGACCGCTTCAGCACCCCCCTTTCCTCCGCCTCTGGAGCAGCTCCGGCGCTTAGCCGCCGAGCTGCGGTTGCTTCTGCCTCAAGTGCGGGGTGAGTTGTGGGAATCTGCGGCCCCGCGCCCAGGGTCGGGGGGTCGGGAGTCAGGTCGGGGCTCCGCTCACCTGTCTTTTGCTTTCGGGGTTGGTCCGACTTCCTACGCTACACCCTCCAGTCGGCGAAGCCCAGAAGACAGCCGAGGAGTTTAACCGAGAGTTGTTTTGGAGAAGACTCAGTGAGTGTGTCTGCCGTTGCGGACTCTTCCCTCATCTCCCTCCATCCGAACCTCTTTCCCCCTCGTGCTGTCCGCTGAGGGGATGACGAGCCCTCCCTGTCCTTCTCCGTTCTGCTGCCCGTTCTCGGCACTTGAGGCGGAAATAGAAAACAGTTTCTGGAGTTGTTTTGAACATGTTTATGATACGGGTGGGGAAGGGACGCGTTATCTAAAATGTCTGTGTAGCAGTTGGGGCTTTAACTTTTTAACACTAACTCTGGTACTCGCCGCCTCCGCCACCCCCAGATGAGTCAGCAGTGAAAGTGTCAGGGGAAGCCACGATTCTGACCACGCTCTTTTGTCGACTTCCACTGCCGTCTCCACAGGTGAGCTAAATTATTTCCTGGATTTGTTGTTGTTCTGTCTCCTTAAGAATTCTCTAGTTTTCTTCTCACCTTTTACACTCAACCCACATTTATTTTCCTCCTTTTATCAAATGAAGAGTGTAATTCTTACTGCACCGGATTGTTGTGAAGACCAGATAGCCTAATGCATTGGGTAGAAAAGTCTTCGAAATTCAGTCTGAAATTGAGCCAGGCCAGTTCCTCATAATTTTTTAAAGCCCTTCTTGATTTATAGCTGTTTCACATACACATTCCCTATCTGACAGAAGAGCAAGCAGTTCTAGAGGCTTGGGTCAAGATTAATAAATGGTTGAGGTGGAGTTAAAAGTCTTTCTCGCAGTATATAAGCAACACCTGTTATATAAAACCCTTAGTATTAAATTGTCTTTGGGTGGTGGTGGTTCACACCTTTAATTCCAGCTCTTGAGTGTGAGACTAGCCTAGTCTACAGAATAAGAGAGCAAGGGCTGTCCTTCGTTTTGTAATGCTTTTTTGAATTGTTTGGTGTCTACCTATTTTCTTTCTAGGTTGGAATGAGTACATTATAAGGCCTGGCTCATCATGATAAGTTTGTAGAAAACATTTGATCATGCTCTGTAGGTGTTTGATCTCTTCCTGGGTGAATAGGTTGACAGCATTGATGCTGAACGTTTATTCATTCTGAATTTGGTCCTTCACCTCACAGGAAACCCAGAGGATCTGTGAGCATGTCTATATTGTCATCAAGGAAATTATTGCAATATATTATTCACTTCCTAAGGATCAGGGTAAGTCATTGTGCATTCATAGCAGTGTTGCTAAAGTAGTAGACTGTACCCCAATGTTACATGTTGACATGTAAACATTATTTGTAAACATGTACACATTATTCATATGTACACATATATACATGTCTATTTTTCTTCAGTTTTGAGCATGTGACTTTCCCCATAGAGTCGAAGTTAATTTTCCTCTGTAGCACCTCATTATGTGAAGGTACAGATGCGGTGCACCTGTGATTTCACATCTTACTGCTTTACCTAATTCTTTAAAAAGTGTGTATGTGTACAGGTATACACATAGGGAATGGGTCTCTCCTTCCATTGTGGGTTCCTGGGATTCAGCTTAGATCACCAGGCTTTTGCAACAAAGTGCTTTTACCTGCTGAGCCATCTCAACTGGCAAGTAAACATTTATTTTATTATTTTATTTTATGGGTATGGGTATGGGTGTTTTGCCTGCATGTGTGTCTGTGTACCACATATATATCTGGTCCCTGCTAATGTCAGAAGAGGGTGTTGGATACTCTGGACCCGAAGTTACACACAGCGTGAGCTGCCATGTGGGTTGTGAGAATTAAACCTGCGTTTTCTGGAAGAGCAGCCAGTGCTCTTAAGTGCTGAAACATCTCTCCAGGCCCTCAACTGACCCTTTATTAAAAAAAACATTATTTGTGTCTGTGTATGTATGTGCACATGGAGGTGCATGTGTTTATTTGTGCGTATGTCTGTGTGTGTGTTCGTTTAGGTGTATGTGGATACATGCAGCGGTCAGTATTTTGTATTTTTGAGAGAGCCTCATTAGAGTTCACTGATTCTCCAGGGAGCCTCCTATCTCTGCTTCCCCAACACTGGCCTTATAGGAATGCTCCATGGTGCCTGCCTTTCTCATGTAGATTTTGGGAACTGAACTCAGGCCAGGCATGGTTGTGTAACTAGCACTTTACTGAATATGGGGTCTTCTCAACTCCTAATTCACTTTATTTTCTTCCTCTCTCCATTCTAACTACTACATATGCTTGCAGAATCTCAACTCCATACTTAACCCCAGGCCATCCCAAACCTCCTCCACCTAGCATTACATCATAACCTATTTGCAAACCCTTTTACAAATCAAGTGCCCACCAACCTGGTCTGTAGATTTATACCTTTGTTGATGTTATGCCAAGAAAATAAATGAAAATATATCATAGTTCATCAGGGTTACTTATAAATGCTTTAAATTTTCAGTGTTTTGTCCATAATTATCAAAGGGCTATTGTCCTTAATGAATTAATACAATTGGAAGGACTTTGTTCCAAAACTGTTGAAGAACAGCTCTAAGGAGTGGCAAGAGGGGCAATAAAATGACATGGTGCATGAGGTAAAGCATGTGGGTATCCATTACCTCATAGTTCCGGAACACTAAGATTCCAGAAAGCAGGTGGTGACGTTTGAAACAACTAGGCTACTTACTGTTTGGGTTCGGCCATAGGAATCACCCTGAGAAAGCTGGTGCGGAGTGCTACTCTGAACATTGTGGACGGCATGGCTCAGCTTCTGGAAATACTTCTCAGCACTCCGTTTCAGAGGTAGCAGTGCCATAGTATGGGCTGACAGTTAATGGGCATCCTTGATGCAGGGAGGGAAAATTGACCCTCACAGCAAAATTACTCAGGGGACATATAGAAACAGGAAGGAGCTCATTAGGATACAGGAAGCTAGGTTATTGATATGTTCTTGTTAATTCCTTTCTCTAGCGTTGACATCGGTGACCTTATTTCCTGCAATAGCGTCTCAGTCGCTTGCCAGCAGGTGTCTGAGATCCCAGAAGGTGGGTAGAAGTGCACTGTTACCTGCTGGCCAGAGCAGAGAGACCTCTCAGGTCTAGCTTCCAGTTCCACCTTATGTATCTGTTTTAATTTCTGTGAAGAATTTAATGAAATAACATGTAGTTTATTTTCATCAATATTAATCAATTTAGTACTTTTTACCGTTCCTCATACTGGTTTTTGGTTTGGTTTGGCGTTAGCAGTGCTGGGGATTGAGCCCAGGGCATGCCAGCCAAGCACTTTGTCACTGAGCTCAGCTCCTTCAATTCAGGTTGCCCTTCTTGCTGGGGCTCTGTCTCTTGTACAGATATAATCTGCTCTCCTATTACTGTTCCAGGAGAGCATGCTGAAAGAGTTGTAAGCAGAGCAGACAGACTAAGAGTGGTCATCAAGAGGACTGTGATAACAAATACCATGAGACAGTTGTATTTGTTTTGGTAGTGAAGTTAAGCCTTTTTAACCCTCTGTCCAGGCAGAGGGTATGTAAGAAGCGTTTTCTTCAAAGCAGTGTTGGTTGCCCTTTGTAGTCTAAGAGAAAGGTTTGGTTTCTCCTCTAATTCTAGTGCTTCTGATCTTTCACTTATAGATAACAAAGCTGCAGCCCTTTTGATGCTGACAAAGAGCGTGGATTTTGTGAAAGATGCACATGAGGAAATGGAGCAGGTGAGGGCACTTACCTATCTTTCCTGGTCATTGGAAAATAATTTCATGACAAGCAGGGGAGAACTGACCATAAAATAAGGAGTTCACTGTAACTTGACCAAATAATTCCACTCTTACTCCTGTCCTGTCCTCCCTCTCCAGCTAGACAGGCAGAATGAGAACATGGTTTACAAAACAATTCAGTTTTGTAGCCGATAGCAAAGCAGGTGGCTGACGATGGTGGTGGTGGTGTGTTTGCATTCACAAATGTGATGGTTTGTCGTAGGCTATCGAAGAATGTGACCCTTACTGTGGCCTGTTGAATGATTCTGAGGACAACGCTGACAGCCACAATGATGAGAATGGTGTAGTAGGGCTTCCCAGTAATCGGGACTCATACTGGTCAGAGGAAGATCAAGAGCTCATCACCCCGTGCCTTGCGTTGGTGAGAGCCTCCCGAGCCTCCCTTAAGAAGATCCGGATCTTAGTGGCTGAGAATGGACAGAAGGATCAGGTGGCTCAGCTGGATGACATTGTGGATATTTCTGATGAGATCAGCCCCAGGTAAGTGTGTGTTGCACACTTGAGGAAACAGGAGTGTTGTGATTTGACCTTCTGCTGCTCTGTGGTTTCCTCCAGCTTTTTATATTTTGAAAATTTTCAGGCCTAAATGAAAATTGAAAAAGTACTTCAGTAAATAGCAATACACCCTTTATTTGGATTCTGTTCACCTCTTTCCCTTCTTGATAAATAGGTATGATAGGTTTTTCCTAAATCATTTTAAGCATAAATGACTTTTCACCCATAAATAGTTTATTAGCAACCTCCTAAGAACAGACATCTTTTGAGCCATATTCAAGAGATTTAACACTCAATGTAATAATAATATCTAATACTTAGATTTCTCTATTTGTTCAAAATGTCTTAAGTAATTTCCAGGTTCCATTAAGGTCTCCTACTGCATTTGTTGGGCGTCTCTTTAGTTTCTTGCAATCTGGAATAGTCTCTGTCCTATCTAGTCTGACGTGACATTGACATTTCAGAAATACACATTGTAAAAACAACAATCTGTATTTATAAGATTATTTTCTTTTAATAGCAATAAAGTTAAACATTTTGGGTCAAAAATATAATAGAATGTTTTGTGCTTCTCTCTATAGCCTGTTGGGGAGGCACATGATGTTGGCTTTTCTTCTTAGTGGTAATAAGTTTGTTTACATGGTTAAAGCTGTGGCCTCTTTTGAAGGAACCTTTTACCTAATGGGTTTAGTTTCCACCCAGCATCACTTACTAAACTGCTGGTTTTGAGTCCTCATGTCCTTGACTGAAGTAATCATTCCCTGTCCTGTGAACCACAGGCATTTCTATCCCAGCATATTAAATAGGATGTGTTTGTTTCAGTAAGCCTTGCATACCTGCAATGACTGAGTTGGTTGCATGCTGGAAACAACCACACTGAGCCCTGTCCCCCTGTCTTTGTTAATGGTTATATTTGTCTTCTGCCCTTAGTGTGGATGATTTGGTTCTGAGCATGTATCCACCTGTGTGTCACCTCACTGTGCGGATCAGTGTAAGTACCAGCTTCGAATTGGTGCAAGTTCATTTGTCTCTAGCATTTCCTATAAGCTATAGAGCATTTATATCTTTGCCAACTTCTGTGCAGGTGTAATGATTTCACAGTTCTTGGATATATTTGTGTTTGATAAATACTAGCTCAATTTGAGTTATAATAGCCATGTGCTTTGATACTTTAATTCTTTTAGAAACACTTGGGTTATTATTTGAAAAAAAAATCCGACGATCTTAGAAAACAGTACTTTAAAGAATAAAATTCTTTTTTTTTTTTAATTTCTCAGGGGAGGGTCATGTATACACATGTCTGTGTGCAGCTGCATGTGCACATATGCACATATGTCACTCTACTTGATTGCCTTGAGACAGGCTCCTCACTGAACCTGGAGCCAGTCTGGCAGCCAGCAAGCCCAGTGATCTCCTTGTCTCTGTTCCCACAGCTCTGGGGTAACAGGTTCAAACATGGTCATATGCAATTTTTTTTTTAATGTGTACTAGGATTTGAACTCATGTCCTTATGCTTGCAAGCACTCCTAGCAAGTAAGGCATTGCCACAAGTCAGATGCTTTAGAGAGATCTGAATTTACCGAATCAGTACCACAATATATGTTTTGTATGTATAATATACATATGTATTTATGTTTGATTGTAATCTTGAAGTGCTACTGCCTTTATGGTTCTGTCTTTTAGTTTTATGAACTCCATTTCATACCACTAATGTTATTGGGAGACAAGTGAACCTGCCGAGTAACTTAAATGTTGCAAGGTATAGGTATATACACCTATGTAGGTTCTAATATATGATAAATTAGGTGGTAGGAGATTAATTAATGTGCAGAACTCTTCAGTAGGACTGGTTCTTTGGAACATTAACTTTTTTTTTTTGCCATTAACTTGTTTTTGAGTTTGTTTTTTGTTTTTTTGAGACAGGGTTTCTCTGTGTCCTGGTTGTCCTGGATTCGCTTTGTAGACCCTGCTGGCCTCAAAGTCATTGATCCACCTGCCTCTGCCTCCCTGAGTGCTGGGAGTAAAGGCATGCACCACCATGCCTGGCCTTGGCATTAACTTTTAAAAAATTACACTCCTGAGAAATAAACTTTTTAGCAAGATGTTCTATTAATGTTCCCAAACACAGTATCATATGAAGTGATTTATAAATATGTGTGTGCACTTGTTTGTTACTTTATATTGTAGCCATACATCCATTCCCATGCTATCTTTTTGTTGTGGATGTGGTGGTGCTAAGGGTACAAAGTAGGGTATGACACATGTTAAGAAGAGGGGGATATAAAAGTTTTGATTCCAAGTCTTGAGATAATTCAGTTTTACCATCTTGAGCTTCTTAAAGGTCTAAACAGAAACTTCTGCCATTTCTGCCTCATAGCCTAAGCCATAACAAACTGTCTCCTTATTTTTTTAAGATTTATTTATTTTATATGTGTGTGTGCTCTGACTGCACGTACACCTACATGCCAGGAGAGGGCATCAGAACCCAGTATAGATGGTTGTGAGCTATCATGTGGTTGCTGGGAATTGAACTCAGGACCTCTGGAAAAACAGCCAGTGCACTTTAACCTCTGAGCCATCTCTCCAGCCCTGGAGTCTCTTTAAAAAAAGAAAGAAAGAAAAGAAAATTATCATTTATTACAGTTTATTCAATTTGTATCCAGGCTATGTCCACCTCCTTCGTCTCCTCCCAATCCTACCCTCCTTCCCTCTTCTCCCCCTATGCCCCTCCCCTAGTCCACTGATAGAGGTCCTCCTCTCCTTCCATCTGATCCTAGCCTATCAGATCTCATCAGGACTAGTTGCATTGTCTTCTTCTGTGGCCTGGCAAGACTGCTCCCCGCTCAGGGGGAGGTGATCAAAGAGCAGGCCACTGAGTTCATATCAAAAACATTCCCTGCTCCCCTTATTATTGAACCCACTTGGAGACTGAGTCAATGGGCTACATCTGAGCTGGAGTTTTAGGTCCTCTCCATGCATTGTCCTTGGTTGGGGTATCAGTCTCTGCAGGGCCCCCAGGGCTCAGTTTTTTTTTGTTTTGTTTTGTGTTTTTTGTTTGTTTGTTTGTTTTTGGCTCTTTTGGTCTCCTTTTGGAGCTCCTGTACCCTCCAGGTCTTTCTATATTCCCTCTTCTTTCATAAGATTCCCTGCACTCTGCCCAAAGTTTGTCTATGAGTCTCAGCCTCTGCTTCGATACCTCGATCAGTAGAGTCTTTCAGAGGCCATCTGTGGTAGGCTTCTATCCTGTTTCCTGTCTTCTTTTGCTTACAATGTCTATTGCATTTGTCCTTCTGAATCAGGATTGAGCATATATCCAAATTTGTTCATCTATTCAACAAGGACATTTGCTCAACCATGTTTGTAGCAGCTTTATTCATAATAGCCAGAAGCTGGAAACTAGATATCCCTCAATGGAGGAATGGATACAGAAATTGTAGTACATTTACACATTGGAATACTACTCAGCTATTAAAAACAAGGAAATCATGAAATTTGCAGGCAAATGGTGGGAACTAGAAAAGATCATCCTGAGTGAGGTAACGCAAAAGCAGAAAGACACACATGGCATATACTTACTCATAAGTGGATATTAGCCATATAATATAGGATAAACATGCTAAAATCTATATTCCTAAAGAAGCTAAACAACAAGAAGACCTTAGGGAGGGTGTCCTCCCCTTTTTTTTAATGCATTCTTCCTATGTGTAGTCAAGGCTGCCTTAAAACTCACTGTTCTTCTGTGAGGTTGAGATTCTTTTTTTTTTTTTTTCCCCAAATTAAAAATGAGCTGAGTGTGGCAGCACACGCTTTTAATCCCAGCACTCTAGAGGCAGGCACAGGAGGAGCTCTGAGTGGAGGCCAGCCTGGTCTTGAAAGTAAGTTCTAACACAGCCAAGGCTACACAGAGAGACCCTGTCTCAAAAAACAAACAAACAAAAAGTTAAAAATGCTGAAAACACAAATGTTACACCAGCAGTGTTCTTAAGATCTTGTTAAGTAGAAAAGAATCCATAATTGCGCTACCTTAACCTAGTCAGCATTTTAAATTGCATTTATTTATTGTGTGCACACACATCACAGTTTAAGTGTGGAGACCAGGGGACAACTTGTGGGAGTTCTTTGTTTTAGCACATGGTCTTGGGTTGTCAACTATGACAGCAAGCATGCCTGAGTCATCTCACCAGCCCTAATCAGCATTATTGTTGCATATTTTATCTTCAAGATCTTTATGATTGCATGCTCCAAGTCAGTCTTTCACCCCCTTTCAGGCTCTTTTTAAATGATTCTGTTATCATCATTGATTGATGATAATTCATTCTCTCCTTTTTTTTTTTGGTGCCGGGGCTCAGGGTGAGTGACATCTTTGTTTCTTTTCTAGTCTGCGAAATTGGTGTCTGTTTTAATAAAGGCCCTTGAAATTACAAAGTAAGTATGAAGACTTCTCCCTTCATGGCTTGAGAATAAGGTCATCTGAGAACTACTCTCAATAATTAACCCCATTTAAAGATTAGGGGAAGGAAGCTGGGGGTGGGGGTGTGGAGCAGCCAGGCTGAGAAGGAATGTCTTCTTACGGTCATTTCTTCTCTGCATCTCTTGGGAATGGCGTTTTCCTTTGCACTGTGCTGACTGGATAACCATGTTTGTCTTATTCCCAGAGCAAGTCATGTGACCCCCCAGCCAGAAGATAGCTGGATCCCTTTACTCATTAATGCCATTCATCACTGCATGGACAGAATTAAGGAGCTCACTCAGCGTGCAGCCGAGTTATGAGTTCCAGGCCTTTCTTCACTTTTCTCCTCTCACTCTCCCAGCCAAGCGCCAATAAAAACTCTGCTTTTATTTATTTATTTTTAATTGTTTTCTGTGTTTGTTTTTAGAAGTGGAGCTATGATAGGGTGCTTGCTGGATAGAAAGGAAGTGCCTGTCTGTACTAAGAGGAGATTATTATCAAGATTCTAAGCTAGAACAGAGCGGCAGTTATCTATAAAGTATATAATGTGATATGCTTCTATGTTAGTCACAAAAGAAATTAGTATAAATTTGTGCTCTGAATTGTTCTTTGGAAATTCTTAAGGAAGTTGTCTTATTCTGTATTTTACAGTAAAGTATTTTGTTTTATTAAGATTTTTATTATCTCAATAAAACCTTAACCTATGTGATTAAATGTGTCATTTAATGTTTCTTCCATTTAAAATATTCTATTTTGAGCCAGACATGTTGGAACATACCTTTAATCCTAGCACTTACGTGGCAGAGGCAGGTAGACCTCTGAGCTGCCAGCTTGCTCTACATAGTATGTTCCAGGACATCCAGAGAGCTAGAGAGACCATGTCTCAAAAATATAAAAATAAAACCCTTATATGCTAATGGACTAGTTATATGATGAGTGGGGGAAAAAAAACTGGCTGGGTATGGTGTCTCACACCTGTGATCCTAGCACTGCAGGAAGTAGAGGGAGGCGAATGTGAGTTTGAGGACAGTCTGGTCTACAAAGCGAGTCCAGGACAGCCAAGGCTACACAGAGAAATATTGTCTCAAAAAACCAAAGGGGGGGAATGCTAAGTAGACTAAGATTAATACTGGATTGGTAGAAGAGAAAAGCATGAATGGGCTACTGTAGGAACACAAGGGTTGGGGAGGGAGTTTTGGCTGAAGGTAGACTGAGAAGACAATAATAAACAATAAACAATCACAAAACATAGAACAGTTTCCTCTTTTGGGAGACTAGGCAACAGAGACCCTGCAAGTCAGTGTGTTCTTTGGGAGGGGAAAATAAAGAGGAGGGAAAAGTTCCCCAGGGCAATAACAATAGGAGCAAGTTGGCATGCCAAATTGACAGTGGGCATTAGATAGGAGAGGAATAGATGCAGGAAGGAGAGCCATCTGGGTGGGGATATAAGCTATGAAAACTGGATTGGTAACCAGATTGGCGTTCCTTCCCCAGTGTACAAGAAGCCAGTGTCGCCTGCAGGAGTTCATTATCTCCTGTTCTCTCCCGGTCTGATTTTGAGTAACTGGATTACGGATGCTGGTCCAGTCTGTGCTTTATGGGTGGAGTCTCAGATGCCTGTACGCCTCTGTGCCTGCCTCCAGTGCTCCTGTTGCAAATGCTGGCCCTGCCCTCTGCTGTCCACACTGTGCTACTGTCTGCACATTGCATGCAGCTTGTGTGTTGCTCAAATACTACATCATGTGCCAGGTTCTGCCACACATGTTTCCTAGGGGTTCAGTGGGTCCCTAGCTTTGTGGGGCAATGGGTAGGGGCAGAGGAGAATGAGTGTTCTAGCTTTCTCAAGTTTAGGGTCTTTTACCCCTTCTCTAGAGCTATGTCATGGGTTGTTGTGGTGCTGGTAGGTTCAGGCAACATGTATTCAGCCTCTTCCAAGCTTTTCTCATTATCCTGCATCCACTTGCTTACTCCTGACTCCTCTGGGCAATGGCAGTGAGTGTTGGGGTAGGGGGAGGATTGTAATAAATCTTGGTGCCACATCCTTGTAAGCATAGTACATGTCTGTGGCTTGCTGTGGTTAAATTTCCCCTTCAGTATGAGTTCAGCCTCTGATTTGAGTTTCCCAAAGTGGGACCCCATGGGCTCAGAGACCCTTGAAGCATTTTCTTGGTGGGGTTTGGCTCAGTACTCATCAACAGGCTTCTTCACAGAATAATTTTTTTTTTTTTTTTTTTTTTTTACTTCTGCATTCTGTAGTTCTTATTCTGGTTTCCCTGTGGTCCTTCACTGTCTTAGGTTTCTTCTACCTATACTCCTGGTCACCCAGGTGGACTTTGACCCATTCTCAAGTTGCTGAGACTAGAATGTTGTTTTCATTTGGGTTTATAGGCCTGGAGGTCTGAGTCTGCTCAGAAATGCATTTAAAATAATAAATGATTTTTACATCGACAGGGGATATTAGTTAGGGTTTCTATTGCTGTGGTGAAACACCATGACCAAAGGCAAGTTGGGGAAGGAAGGGTTTACATGGCTTATACTTCCAAATTATAGTCCATCACTGAACAAAGCCAGGCAGGGCAGGAGCTCAAATAGGGCAGGAACCTGGAGGCAGGAGCTGATGGCAGAGGCCATGGAGGGGTGCTGCTTACTGGCTTGCTCATTATGGCTTGTTCAATCTGCTCTCTTACAAAACCAGGACCACCAGCTCAGGGATGACCCCACCTACAATGGGCTGAGCCCTTCCCCATCAATTATTAGTTATGAAAATGCTTTGCAGGGGCTGGAGAGATGATACAGAGGTTAAGAGCACTGGCTGTTCTTCCAAAGGTCTTGAGTTTAATTCCCACCAACAACATGGTGGCTCACAACTATCTATAACAAGATCCAGTGCCCTTTTCTGGCATGCGGGCACACATGCCAGAATATTGTATAAATAATACAGGCAGGATATTGTATAGATAATAAATAAACAAATAAACAAATCTTAAAGAGAATAAGAAAGAAAATGCCTAACAGCTGGATCTTATGAAGGCATTTTCTCAGTTAGGATTTCCCTCTTTCAAATAACTCTAGTTTTTATCGAGTTGACATAAAATTAGCTAGCACAATTGATCTTTTGTCAACCTAACAAACATGTCATGTTAAGCCATACCTTTCCTTTTGTTGTTGTTGTTTCGTCCCCAAGATCTCAAATTAATAAATAGCATTTTGGTGGTTTGAATGAAAATGGCCCCATAGGTCCATAGTGAGTGGTACTATTAGGGGGTGTGGCCTTGTTGGAAAAAGTATGTCACTGGGGGAAGGTTTTGAGGTTTTAGATGCTCAAACCAGACCTAGTATCACTCTCTTCCTGCTGCCTTTCTATCTAGATATGGAACTCTTGTCTACCTTTCCAGCACCGTGTCTGCCTGAATAGTGCCATGCTTCCCGCCATGATGATAATGGACTAACCCTCTGAAACTGTAAGCCAGCCCCAATTAGATGCTTTCCTTTATAAGGGTTGCCGTGATCGTGGTGTCTCTTCATAGCAATAGAACACTGACTAAGACAATCACAAATATAAAACATTACAAACTTAAAAGTTCCACAGTTTTTACAGTTCAAACACTTTAAAGGTCCAGGCTCTTTAAATGTCCAAACTCTCTTTTAGAAATTCAGTTTCTAAATTATGGGCTCCTGTAAAACTAAAAATAAGTTAAATACTTTCTTATTTCAAGAGGGAAGAAGCAGGGCACAGTCACAATCCGAACAAACTCCAACAGAATAAATGACTCAATGTCCAATATCTGAGATTTACTCATGATCTTCTGAGTTCTCTTCAGGGGTTCCAATTCTACCACAAAATGCCAAGCCTCAGCTTCTCCCCATAGCCCCTTCACACCTTCAAAACCAGCACCATCTGGGTGAGTTAGCTCACTAAGTTTGGCTGCTAGCACAAGGTACAACTTTGGCCACCTCTGGAGCAAAGCTCCTGTGTGCTGACTGTCAGGAAACACTTCCCAGAAGATCTCCCAAAAAGATGGGCTTTTCTTAATCACGGCTGATTCTACAGCCCCAGCTGACCAGCATTCATTGTCTCAGCAAAGCAAAAGTTTTACTTTAGTGGTTCTGGTCTCTTGTTAATCAAATCCAATTCTTCAGCTCCAGCTGACCAAACACCACAGATTCTTCACAAAATGACCTGGTAGAGCCTTTACTTCCCTTTGAAAGTTCACAAGCCAGGTCTCCATTGTCTTCATTGCTTTCAACTCTTATCTTCCAAACTCCTACGGAACATCCCACTGGACTCTCAAAACTCAATGTCTTTTCTAGCCTGAAGTTCCAAAGTCCTTCCACAACCCTCCCAAAACCAATATGGTCATATTTGTCACAGCAATAACCCACTATCCTGGTACCAATTTCTGTCTTAGTATTTTACTGCTCTGAAGAAACACCATGACCATACCAACTTTTTTTTTCAAGACAGGGTTTCTCTATGTATCCCTGGCTGTCCTGGACTCACTTTGTAGACCAGGCTGGCCTCGAACTCACAGAGATCTGCTTGCTCTGCTTCCCACCCCCACCCCAAGTGCTGGGGTTACACCACCATGCACACCACCATGCCTGGCTGACCACACCAACTCTTATAAGAGAAAGTATTTAATTGGGGCTTATTTACAGTTTCAAAGGTTTAGTCCATTGTCATCACTGCAGGAAGCATGCAGGCAGACATGGTGCTAGAGAACTAGTTGAGGGTTCTACATCTGGGTCCATAGGCTTCAGGAAGAGAGAACTAGATCTGGTTTGGGCCTTCAAAGCCCAATCCCCCAGTGAAAAACTTCCTCCAACAAGGCCAGACCTCCCAGTCCTTCTCAAACAGTTCTACTAACTAGGGACCAAGAATTTTAACATATGATACTGTAGGGGACACTCTCATTCAAACCACCACACTCTCATTTGCTAGTTTGGTCCACTTTATTAAAAATATTAGTTTTCTTCAGACATACCTACTTTGTCCATATAACATGTATCCTCAAATGTGGATACCACATTTTTATAAAACAATAACAACAACAACAACAACAACGACAACGACGACGCATAAGAGTTTTTATAATTTAGACATTTTGGTACATTGTTTCCAACTATATTGCTATGAAATTATATATTGTGTACATCTAGAACCTGTGTTCTCGACCTGTGGGTTTTAATCCCTTTGGGGATTGCATATCTGATATCTTCCATATCAGATATTTATATTATGATTCATAGTGATAGCAACATTACAGCTATGAAGTAGCAATGAAACAGTTTTATGGTGGGGAGTCACTACAACATAAGGAACTGTATAAAAGGGTCACAGCATTAAGAAGGTTAGGAACCACTGCTCCAGAGGATCACATATTAGAAAGCAGGGTAAAGCTGGGGTGAGGTATGGTGTGTAACCTGAATTAGGGTCCCCACCTATACCACAGGCCTCCACCACCTCTAAGTTAGTCTTCTGTGCCTATACCACCCTGCCTGCCACTGTGATGGTTTTTGGGGTAATCAGCTGATTACCTTCGACACAAATACTGGCCTATTCTTTCCTGTTTCTGCACATCTTGGCCAAATTAGTGCGAAGTCTTGCGGCCACCTTGAGACCTGCCATCTGAGTCTGGTGGTAGACTAGGAGACATTCCCTACCTGCAGCCATGTTGTAATCCCAGTTGGGCCTATAATAGGGAAAGTAATCATCAATACAGGCTTGATTTGTAGTTGAAACTCCTGTAGTGTCTGGGACATTTTTGCACGCCTCTGAAATAATACGTCCCCGCTCCTCTGTGATAAACAAAACCTGTAAAAGCTGCTGGCAATCATCCCAGGTGCACTGATGGATGAAAAGAACAGTTTTAAAGAGATCAATCAAATCTCTAGGGTTGTCAGAGAACTTGGCATGCTGAGTTCTCCAGTTATAAAGATCTGATGTGGCAAAAGGCCAATAATGGTGAGATTGATTGCTATTATCATTTGGTGGTCCCGTGGCCTATAGGGGAAGGACTGTGGAATCTGCCTCTGTCACTCCAGAAGGAGAGGCTGCTCAGAGGCTCTGGGTCCTCTGTGCTGGGCCAGATAGTGGTCCTGACCTGGTTAAAGTATCCAGTACTGAGGGAGCCGGTTGAGGGGTGGAAAGAGGTCTATATGGAGGGGGTGGAAAAATGGCTTCCTCTGGAGTTCCATCCTGCAAAACAGGGTAAAGGGGAGCAGAGGAAGTTGAAGGGGCACCTTTGGGATCCTTTTTCTTGGTCTCAGTCACCAGAGCAGTGACCTCTGGTTCTGGAGATCCTATAGAAGGAGAATTGTTAGTGGGGATCAGAAAGAGCTTAATCCATAAAGGTGGATGAGTCACCAGGTCCTTCCAAACTACAATATATGACACCTGGTCTGGGTGCCCACATGCTTTCTGAAAGACTCTATATTCCACCGCTAAGACGGTGGGAAGGTGGAAGGTTCCTTCTGGTGGCCAGCCCACATTGAAGGTGGGCCATTCAGAGCTGCAGAAAGTTATCATTTTTCCTTTCCTCACATCAACTGAAAGACCCTGAGCTCTAGCTTTAACCTCTCCAAAATGAGTCAGAACCAAGTGAAGAGGTTTGGAAGTATTCTGTCCCATATCGTCAGTCAGTCTATTCATCAAGAGAATTCAAGAGAATGTAGACGAAGTAAGGAGAACAATTTCAACAAATAGTAAATCACTCATACACAAAAAAGAACCGGCTGTCTCAGACAAAAACGAAACCAAAGGCAACAACTTACAGCCTATACCCGGGCTAATATCCCGGGACAAAACTGAAATCACAGAAACGAAAACAGCCCCAGTTTTAAACAAAAGTAAAATCAAGCACTCTCAAGTAGACGTAAAACCACAAAAAATTAATCACAAAAATTAAACAGTAACTCCGGGCACAACACCAAGAAAAAACAATTAATCACACACAGAAACCAAGTAAAACTGAGAATCTGGACTTCTCTGCCACAGAAGTTCCAGAAAACTGATCCTCACCCTGGTTCCCCTATCCCAGAGGTTCCGAGGAGGCAGAAATTCCAGGGCTACAAAATGTCTTTTGAAGCCCTCCGCAGCCTGGGCTCCAACACGTCTGTCACACCTACATCTGGCCGCTCCCATAAGCACCTCGAGGCTTTTCAGGATAAGAAACAAAGAATAAAGGCAAACAAACATTTAAAACAGACGGACAACATAGAAGACGTTACACTTACCCGCGGGATTAAGCTCTCCGGGTCGGGAGTCCTAGAGGTCCCGAGGCATCCCGGATGGGTGAGTCCCCAAATATAATGCCAGGTTCATGGGACCCTCCGAGACCACCAGGAGACGACTCGATGTAATTGCAAGAGAGCTTTATTACGAGAGCGACCGAACTCGGAAAACAAGTCTCACTGATGCAGCACTAGAAAAGTGGGACCCCGAGCTCTGAGTGAACAGGATTTTTAAAGGGAAAGTCTGTGATCAAGGGGTTTCCATGACAGCAAGCAGTGGGGCACAAGCCTTGGCCTTACAGAATTGGGTGAAGTTTAGCAGGGTGGAGTGACCTTTTCTGAGGCACACAATCACAATGACTAAGGCATATAATCACAATGGCTATTTTTCTAAACCATATCTGAAACATTGGGGAGAATTTTCCCACCCGATTTCTAACTGAATCCCATTGATTATTGCCAGGGAGTTTGTCTCTATTTTCTATGAAGCATTTATTCTGTTATATTTCCTGGAGGCTGTTGCTAGGAGAGTTAACTTTGTTTTCTGCCAGGTGCGCATTCTGTGATATTTCCTGGTACCTGAATTCAGTTCCCAGTCAAGAGCTTTATTTCAAAATGGAGTTATATTCAGGCTAACTTAAACTCTTCAAAACAAACAACAACAAAAACGGATTTTGGTTTCTGTGAGTCTAGTTTAGTTTTGGTCACTGTTTTATTCAACCTTAGTGGAGATTCATTTGTCTGAGAGGCAGAGTTTCTCTCCAGAGTGTGTCTGGCTTTAGCAGGTGGTTTGAGGGTTGTTTTCGGTTTAAACGGGAGTGTCGGGGCACCACAAGGACACTGCTATGGCCGGTCAGGTTCTGGAACATGTCACAATCTACTTCCACAGTGAGCCTCTGGAGCCCCAGGTGTGTTGGTGTGAACTGGAATTGAGCATGAAGGCTGTTTCCTGGCCACACAGAACCTAATCTGAAAGAAAGGTAGAGATGGGTGTTAATTCTCCTTCAGGGTCATCGCTCTGCTGGTCTTCATGGGTTGTCCTTCTCAGATTGAAGATATGGGGCATGAGGATAGAAATCTAAGTTTACTGGGAAAGCCGGAAGTGATCATAAGAGATAAATGACAGGAGCATCTCTATACAGAGCAACTGCACGGCTCAAGACAGAAGCGTGCGGAGGCCTCTCGTCTGCATCTGTTGTTCCTTTCAGCGTCTGTGATTCGGTCTGGTTATATTCTTGGTAATAGTACTGGCAGTATGTTTGGCAAAAGAGAGTTTTAAATTTCTCCCTGCTGAGCACAGTGGGTGCCATAGACATAGTGAGGGGGTGACAAGGTGTCAGCAGAGGTGGCTGACCTTCCTGGACTACTGTAGACCTTTCAGTGAGGGAATGTTTAAGATTTCCTTCAGGGAATTTGCTTTAAGTTGTTCTGGAAGATCATAAAGTCTAGTTAAATGTTGGTGGGTCCTCCTCTCGTTTAATTGGCAAGAATGACAAATTTTCATGATGTTGTACCAGTGGCTCAATAACTGGACCACCTGCTAGGAAGCTTAGTGTTACCTTTAAATTATACCCAACCAGGAGTACAGTAGGCAAAATAAAAGAGGTTGCTTGCAATGTCTAACAACACTCAGGGACCTAGAATATTCAGGAACTCCCTAAAAGTCCACAAGAAGGAAGGCAAGAACACCAGAAGAAAAGGAGGCCAAGACAGAGACAGCTATCAAAGAGGAAATAAAAAAGGATAACCAGCCTAAAGAATGGCAAATTGGAACAGTAGGATATGGCTTTCTATTACTGTTTTTCCTACTGGAAAGAAGAGAATAGTTGGGTATTGCCAGAGAGGTGGGGAGAAAAACTGTCTTACAGTGCTGGAAGGATTCTGCTTCTAAATTTAATAGGATCTGGCTAAACGGGATTATATCTTGTGACCCAGAAATTCCATTCCTGTATAGATTTAATCCCTGGCATCACCAAAGCTTCAAACAAGCTTATAAGGGGATGTGTAGGAGGCTGTTGGCTGTGAAACCTTGCGGCATCAGAATGAGAGGTATTTGCTGCCTGTCATCATGGAGCAGTAGGAAGTGGTGGATACAGACAATGGAATATTATGCAGCCTGTTGGTATAATGTTCTTTTGGAATGTATACACTTTACCCTTGTTCATTCAAATGCTGGTTTCTCTCCCCCACTCTCTGGTTTCAATCTGGACATTGCATTGTGAATCTTATTCTAAGCATCACCTGTCTCAACTTTGTATAAACATGTCAAAATAAAGCAACTAGCCACAATGTTGAGCAATGAAAAGGAAGCAGGAAGAGAGGGAGGAGCGAGAGGACAGGAAGGTGGGAGGCAGAGGAGGAGAAAGGGCAGGGGAGAGCTGAGAGAGAGAGATATTGGAACAACCTTGGAGAGATGGACTGGACCTAATATATCACTAAAAGCAAGTATAATGTGGGAAATCTAAATGTTAGAAAACTATGAGGGCTTGGAGGTTTGGATGGAGTAACTATTGCCCAGCATTGTGTTCTAGGTTAATTAAATTATAGTCTCTGTGTGGTGATTTGGTTATACAGCTGTTTAGGATAAACAGCAGCATTACTAAAAGATAATTATTAGTAACTATTAAACTCCACTTACAACAGCAGCCCAAGACAAAGCCGTAACATCTGTATAAGTTAATGAAACAACAGTACACATTGCACATTGCTAAAGATCCACACACAAAAGGACATGGATGGTGGTGAAGGGAAGAGAAATGAAAAGAACTTAATTAAAATTGTACATTGTAGCAGTGATTGGTAGGGTACAATTCTTTGGTAAACCAAGACACAGCATGTCCTATCTGTGTGTTCTCTGGTACCAGATCTAACCTCCCTTCATCACCAGCAATACTCAGGCTCTTCTTGGATGATTGGGACAAGTGAGGTGGGAGCTATGTAGGGTCTTCACAGTCTCCCTTATCCCCTCCTCCTGTTGACTTGGTGGTTCCAGGATGAGATAAGCCATTTGGTAGCTTTAATTCAACTTCTGGAGATATTTGCTCTATCTTCAAGGGATAGGACAAAGAGATGGATTATTGTTTTTAAGTCCAAAACAGTTGAGATCTTTCAGTGGTATGAGAAGCTTACAGTCTTAGCCTGCAGCGGTGACACACACCTTTAGTCCCAGCACTTGGGAGGCGGAGCTCTGGCAGGTGGATCTCTGTGAGTTCCAGGCCAGACTGGTCTATAGAATGAGTTCTGTATGGTAGCCAGGGATACGGAGAGAAACCCTGTCTTGAAAAACAAAACCAAAAAGAAGCGTACAGTCTCTTACCCATATTTCTTCTCTCTGTAGATGAGTCCCCTTCCAAAGATGGAGATGACGCAGTTCTGCATGGGAGACTCTGAGGAGTTGTGCATGCTGACTGAGACGGTGAGAGGCTGATACTGCACCGCTCTCTTCGGCATCTGTAGGAAGAGGCAGCACCTAGACAACTATGGCAGATGCTGGGAAAGGGACAGCCATTGTTTCCATCAACACACCTTCTCTAATAAGGCCACACCTCCTAATCCTTTCTCGAACTTTCCCACCAACAGCCCTGTTTGGTAGCAGCTAAGAGCAATTCAATGAAAAAGGAGCGCCCACCTTGATGGCAAGGTGTGGTTTACTGATGGCCATGTCTTCCTGAGCGAAGCAGCTGAGGCTGGTGTCGGAGCGTGTGGCCATTGCTGTGACCCTGAGGAAGCTGTTCTCAGGTAGGGTTTGTTCAAAATAGGAGAAAGACAGGGGGGTGGATGCTTTCAGAACTGCAACATACAACAGGCAAGTCAGGACAAAGCACGGAGTGCATGCATGCCAGAATCAAATCACACCCACGACAAAGGAATTGGGGTCCCACTGAAGCCAGAAAGATGCTACATGGCCTACAGCTACTCTGCATGTGCCCAGGACTGCTGCCCCGTTACCATCTCTGCCAACACTCTTAGCAGACTGCCTCCCAGGGATTATAGACAAGCTTCTGTGAGCTACAACCAGCCATGGCATTTTTTGCCTAAAAGTGGTAGGATGACTTGTGTTACATGACACACTTCAAAGGAAGTGCTTATCTCAAAACTCATCACATGTCGGTTGCTGAACGCGTGCTTACACAGTTCCTGCTCCTTCTTCCGTTTCCTTCTAAACAGAAAATGTTAACTATCAAGTGGGACCCTCTCAAGCTCTGCCTCCCATTCCCAACCTGCAGACATAGACATTACCCCTACCGTGACCTCCTCCCAGGGTATGTGCTAGCCCCTTGTCCATGTAGAATCCTATGCTTTTTAAATATGTGCCCCATTCTCATCCACTGCTGATGAACTGTGTAACCTCAGGCAACTCATTTAACTTCAGTTTTCTCTGACAAGAAGTGGGACTAAGGACGGCACTCCCCTCATAAAGTTGTGGAAATAATGAGATAAAGAATTTAATGTACTCACCACCATTTCTGGCAAATATTAGGTGCTCAATATATGCGAGATAATTATTCCGAAAGGTTATTTGCCCAGAGGCTATGCTGTCATTTATAACCCACTCTCCCAAAGCTTCAGCTTTTATGTTGATTATCAGCATATAAACAGATTCGCCTTCCAAGTCAACCAAAGAACCATGCCACCCTCTCTCTAGCTCCTCCTTTTTCCCATCCTGCTTTAGGAAGAACGCTACTGAGTTCAATCAGTTTAAATGCCAGAAAGCCAGCCTTCATCTTCTTAGCTGGGTCTCTTGCCCAGGCTATGAGCTTCAACCAGGACATCTCCTGACCTCTCTGCCAACCTTGCTGGGTGTTCCTGTCCCCTCTTAGACAACTCTGTCTCCCTCATTCTTTGTTCTTTCCTTAAGTGTTCCCTAAATCCATTAATTCCTCTTCCTACGTCCTGTCCTCCAGCACTGTAAATGCCTCCGTGCCTGACTCTTGCTCACTCCCTCTAGGGATTTGTATGCCTGCTCACCAGCACAGGCTGTATCTTGAACCCTGTGTTTAAGTTCCCAGATGCCTGCTGGTTGTCTGGATACTTGGATGTCTCATGGGCCTCTAACAAAAACATGCTATAACTAGATTCATCTTTTTCCCAAAAGTTGCATTCCTCTCTTCTAGGAAAGAGGAATAAACCATAGGAGGACATCCTCATTCACAAACCCAATTTCTACCACCTCCTGGATGTCTTGTTTCTGAGTGCTGCCAGGTTAGCCTGGCTTTTGTTACTTCAACTGCTAATAAATAACTCTCACCCTCACTCCCTACCCCCTACTGCCCTGTAACCTAGAGGTTCTCTATGCTGCATACAAGAATCTTTTATATCACAGTCCCAACCTCAGGCCACAACCCAAGTCAATGACATCAGATCCTGGCAACAGGCATCAGGATTGTAAATTCCCACAGGTGCCTCAGTGTACAGCCAAGGTTAAGAACAAATGTTCTGCCATGACCTTTCCATTCCATTTCATCAAAAGGTCTTTCTTTTAAAAATGTGTTCTGATCACATTGACACCCCTAATGAAAACTTTTGGCCAGCTCTCCATTACCCAGACAACAATAACTCGGGCTCCTGAGCATGACAGCTGGGACTGTTCACATCCCAGGCACATTTAGCTCTCGTGCTAACTCACACTATGCCTGGGTTGTTCCAGTCCTGTAGACAAGCTGAGTCCTTGTCCCTGAAGCTTGCCTGGGTAGTGAGATTTTCTCAGCAGTGTTGTAAATTCTGACGTTTGTGTTTATCCAATTGTCTGGCATGTAGCCCAGGCATAGTTTCCTTAGGTGACTCCAGTGTGGGGCCTCATCTCAGACCAATTAAACAAGTATCTAAGGAAGAGGAGAGACCTTTATACATTTTCCCCCTGTCTGGAATGCCTGGTGTATTTTTTCTATCCACCTTGTCCTTCTTCATCCTTCAAAAGCAGCCTGCTGTGAATCATCCAGGTGCAGACTGCCCCATCCTAGGTGAGGTGCATTTCTGTCCTGCACTCTGTTGGCCTCCCTGGACGCTTTCTCACTGCTGATGTGGGTTGGTTTAATTATCTCATTGCAGCTGGAATCCTGGTCCTCTCACCTGTCGCAGGCCAGATATATGTGTGTTGGATGAATGAGTGGGAGTGTGAGCACCAGGGGGGTAAAAGCCATCTCTGAAGACCTATGGGTGAACCCAAGATAGAAACAGCTGTGTGTAAGGTGTCTGTTGGGGCCAGAGAGAGTTACCCTCGTTGGGTCTGAGTATGAAAGACTGCTTCTGTTTCCAGAGATAAGTAGCAAAGACTCCATTGTAGTACACAGCCTGGATGGCAATCACCAGATGCACGTCCTTCTCCTTGTCTGTGGGGTTAACCAGGATCACCGAGACCCCACCGTTTCCTCCCGGTGGGATAGATTTAGTTGTTTCCAAGGAGAGGTGCAGAGGATCAACAGGCTCACAGATAGGAGGGCTCAGGCCACTGTCTTTTCTGTGTTTCATTCTCTCTTTTCGGACTCTCTCCAGTACCTCTTTTTCTAGAAGAGACCCTGCAGAATAGAAGACAAAACAGACCTCTTACCCCAGAGGTACAGATTCTTCTGACAAAAGTGCAGGGTTAAAATTTATATACCACCTCTGCTCAGATACTAAAATCTTAAAAAGCTTTGCAAATGCCTCCTGTTTTGAATTTGCCTTCGCTCAAGGAAAACAAGTTTTGTGACAAGTCAGCGCTGTCACTGGAGATATTTTTGTAAGACTCCTTCACACATGATTCTTCAAGGGCAAAGGAGCCATGGAATATTCTTGAGTGGGGGATAACAATGGCAGCCATGTCTTAGAACATTCATTCTCGAAACTGAGATGGGAAAGGGAACCATGATGGAGAGACCAGAGCCAGGGAGTTGCCATCCTACAGGCAAGAGGCAAGGAAGCTGCTGGATTAACCAGGCTGTGGGAAAGAGTGCAGAAGACAGTCAGGCAAGAACAGTGTGCTGTAGGAGAAGGCTCCAGGGAGTTACAGCCTCCTGATTTGGACTGATAGACAAAAATAGAGAAGTCTTTGGGGATCTTAGAAGAGAGGGTGGGAGGGTTAGCTTCCTCTCCCTCAGTCCCAAAAGTCTTCTTGGACAGGGTTTGGTATTTATTTGGCTTTTTTTTCATAACAATGGTTCTCAAGCAGAGGCGATTTTGACCCCATCGGGGACATTTGGAAATACATGAAGACATTTTTGGTTATCAGGACTGGCTGGGGTTGGGGACAGGCATCTCATGAGCCGAAGCAAAGAGCACTGCAGTGTGCCCGACAGCTCAGCCTCCTACAGTGCAGAACTATGTGATCCAAACTGGCAGTCACGTCAGCCAAGACTGAGAGACTTACTTTTATTTGATGGAGAAAAGACCGGGACTCTTTCTGACCTGCATCTGCCCGGCCCATCCCCTCATTTGCTATCTCCGGTGAATACTGTCAGTACCTGCAGGATACTTGTAGTTCTGAGTGATGTCTTCGCAGCGGTCACTGCCCACGACCTTGGTGCAGATGTTCTCGCCAACATACTTTTGGCTGGAGTCGGTCAGCTCCAATTTCCCATCTTCACAGCACTTCCAGATCACACACGAGGCATTTACTGAAGCAAAGAGGTCTGATACTGCCGGGTCCAGCTGCAGTTTCCCATCCTTGACTGCTCGGACCGGGACCAGAATGCAGGATCCCAGAACTAAAGGAGAGATGTGGTGGTTGATCGGGAGCCACCATGTATTCATATGTTAGTTGCTTGCTCCCCCCCCCCCCAAGATACTGTTTTATCAGTAAACCCTCAGGTAACCAAAATGACACTTGTAAACCTTGCCTCCCAAATTATTCCTGATTGGCCAATAAAAAAATGCCTGCATCCAAGTTGGACAAAAGTGAGGTAGGCAGAGCTAAGGTTTGCGGGCTCGGAGGAGAGAAAGATTGAGGGAGGGAGAAGAGGAGGGAGAGAGGTACAGGAGAGGAGGAAGAAGAAAGCAGAGTCGCCATGGGTTAAGCATGAACTAGAAGCACGTGGCTGGGAGGAGCTTGCTCTGAGGATTGGCAAATGGGGAGAAGCAGCCCAGTTGAAAAAAACACGTGCAAGAATTTATGGGGTTTTTGGAGGCAAAGTAGCCCATATGGAAATTATTAGAGCAAATGGCATGGGAAGTGGAGCTGGGAGAGATCGAGACAGCTTAGGGCTTAGTTTCTGCCCAGTTCCAACGTGCAGGCATATTAAAAATCTAACAGGTGTCTGTGTACTTTCGTTTCTAGAATAGCAGGTGCAATAACAACTTCCGTAATGACCTTACATATTAGTAGTAAATATTAACAATGCTTCTACTACAAAGAGAAAGGGCAGTTGAGCAAAGGACCCCTCCCCCCTCAGAGTTCTGCTCTGGCTAGGTTCCTTGTGTCAGTCCTTGTCCTGTACATTATTTTTCCTTCTCCAGGATCAAGGTCAGTGGTAGGAAGTGGACAGGCTTTCTGAGAAAGTATCAAAGATGAAACTCACGATGATGCAATGAAAATACTCTTAGGTCCTGGCTTATACCAGACTCTGGACAGGAAGGACCTCATAGGAACACGATTAGCACACAGTCTTAATTCTAATATGCTAGGAACAGGCCGCCCTCTTGGTCGCTTCCTGTGTGCCAGGCTCTCTGATATTTTTTTGTTTGTTTGTTTGTTTTGTTTTGTTACAAGTGGTGTTAACCATTTAATCATTTGGAAATTTGGACCAATCTATGACAGGACGATTTTCATTCCCTCCCTAGATTTTTCTAGTAATTTTCTTTTTTTAAAAAAAGCTTTGTAATTTGTTTAATTTTTAAAATATTTATTACGATTTATTCATTTTCTATCCCAGCTGTAGCCCCCTCCCTCAGCCCCTCCCAATCCCACCTTGCCTCCCTCATCTCCTCCCATGCCCCTCCCCTAGTCCACTGATAGGGGAGGTCCCCCTCTCCTTCCGTCTGACCCCAGCCTATCAGGTCTCATCAGGACTGGCTGCATTGTTCCAGGACAAGGAGGCATCATTCTTTGGTTGCTTGAAGTTTCCCTCTCTAGGCTTGAGTTTTCATCCACACACAGACAAGTTCCACCCAGCCAGGTCCTACCCCAGAATGCCCATAGTCATTTGACCTTTGACCTTCATTGAGATGGTATTCCTTTGCCCAAGGCTTTAAGTAGGCCTAGCATTTATGCAGCTTGTAACATGGATAGCTGACATCTTTATCTCCTTGAGCCTGTTGGCACAATCTGATCACCATCACTCCTTCTGCTTCTCCTGTTTTAGAGGATGAAGACCCTCTTTGGACCACATGCTGCTCCTAGATCCTTCGCAAAGGGACCCCTTCAGCTCTTTCAGCCCTGGTTGGTCCTGGGCCCACCCTTAGGCTTTACCTCCAACTCCATTAGATGCTCTTGGGTACAGAATCTGCCACCCATCATAACCCTGCAAATCAGGTCTGTTCATCCAGCATTCCACAGAAGTTTGGAAGACCCTAAAAGTAACAAAGGCAAAACTTCAAGTGGGGAAAAGGGGAATATGGAAGAGAGCTTAGAAATATGACTTTAGAGAGTTGTTGCCCTGGGGATGAGAGGACACTCTAAAAAGAAAAGGGACGTTCCTACAGAGGGGCATGCACTCCACCGCTGACCACCACCACCTCCAACGACAGTCCCGAAGATCTTCTCTTAGCCAAGCTTCTCCATGTGCCGGGGGCTCACAATGAGCTTGGCACTTTGGAGCCCTTTCTGGTCTAGAACCCTATCTCCTCTAGGCTTCTCACCAGATACGGCCCCTCTGTCCTTCTCCATTCTGGAGCCCCTCCTCGTTGTAGTACTCATCCACCAGCAGGCTCCCGTTGGTACCCTGGGCTGAAGCAAATGTGGTAACGACGCGTGCTGGGATGCCCAGGCAGCGTAGCACTGCATAGAAGACGCAGAGTATCAGAGGGGGCAGGAAAGCCCCAGGCTGGACAGGATCTGTCTTACATGTCAGGTGACATTGCAGAAGGACGAGAAATCTGAACCGCACAGGTGAAGGCTGGTAAATGGTGCACAAATCATACAGCACAGGAATATAGAGCAAGGGGGAGGTTTAGAAGCACCAAGGCTTTCTCTGTTGGGGGGCAGGCGGAGGGTGTTTGGGGGGAGAGAGTAAGTTTGGGAGCAGAGTTTGTAAATGAGGTCAGATCTGCAGAGGGGAAAGAGAAGCAGCAGTTGGTGGGGAAAAGCTGTGGAGAGGTGGCAGAGCCTGCTTTAGGAGATGTTCCTCCCACATGGGAGGCAAGGGGACAACTCAAGATGCAGGCTAGACACTACAGCAGCCCAGAAGACCGGCCTGTGTGTTGCTTGCCCTGTACCTGTGCAAGCAACAGCAGCAAACACCCAGGCCTGAGTCTCATACACTGGTCGTCCTTGGCCAGTGAGCCACTGCCGCAGAATGGGCGCACTGCCCCGTCGTTTGTACAGCAAGGTCCCTTCCTGGGCAGCCTGGGTCTGTGGAACAGGCAGGACACTCCTCTTCTTGAGTTCATGCAGCTGTTGGGCCAGATACATGATTTTGGTGGGTATCCTATGGCTGGACAGCTTACAAGGGCCAGCAAGGAGTGCTCATTGCAGCTTGCCAAGCATGTGGCTTAATCCCAGCAGCCTGTAAGACCAGCATACTCCAGGCTCCAGTCTGTACTCTCACTGTTCACAATCTCAGAGCCAGACCCAGAGCTCCACATCTAAATCATCCTCCAGCTCCAGTCACAGGGTGGAGCATGAGAGCTGGTTCTACTGTTCCTCAGCCTCCCCTGGCCTGACTCCCTCAGCCTTGTTTGCCTTAAGTCCCGGAGGCCACTTATCTCAAGCTTCTTCCTTCTTACAGAATAGCCTTGACCCAGGCTCTGCCTTTTAGAGCTGGGACAGAGAGTTATGAGAGGAAATGGGGGCTGTATTACTTTCTGAGAGGAGTTTGTGGACATGGTAGTCTGGCTAGTTTTATGTCAACTTGACAAAAGCTAGAGCCATCTGAGAGAAGGGAACCCCAATTGTGAAAATGCCTCCGTAAGACCTAGCTGCAGGCAAGCCTGTAGGGCACATTCTTAATCAGTGATGGATTTATGGGGGAGGGCTCAGCCCATTGTAGATGGGAACACCCCTGGGCTGATGGTCCTGAGTTCTATAACAAAGCAGGCTGAGCAAGCCTTGAGGAGCAAGTCCGTGAGCAGCATCCCTCCAGGACCTCTGCATCAGATCCTGCCACCGCGTTCCTGCCCTCTCGAGTTACTGCATTGGCTGCCCTCAGTAGACTGTAATTCTGGACACATGTGCCAAATAAACCCTTTCCTCCCCAAGCTGCTTTTAGTCATAATGTTTCACAACAGCAATATTAACCCCAACTAAGACACACGGGAAACCCCACGCCACCTTCACGGCTTGCATATTCTTAGGAACATTTAGAAATAAAACAAGACCCTTGGATTACCATAGCGGCAAGCCCTGGGAAGGATAGGATACATCTTCCCTCCTCGGGATCTAAGCCTTCAGGTTAGGACTGGGAGGAAGGGAACTCTGGGAAAAGCCAGCTCCCTCCCTCCCCTGGCTTTTGTCTTAGATGAACCTGTCTCTCTTTTTCTTGCCTTGTCCTTCTCTCTCATCAGGCTCTTCTCTGAGGACTGTCTCCCACACCCTGGAAGAGAGGAGCTACTGTGCTCTGAGGGCTTCCAGAGCCCCCTCCATTCAAGTGCTCTTGTCCCATCTCCTCTCCCCCTGGTTCCCCAGCTTTGTGCTCACCAAGGCTCCCAGCACACGGGCCACATGTATAGGCTGGCTCCAGTCTTCCACTTGCCTGTCCACACTCAGTAAGTTCAGGCTGAGGTCCACGATGTCTCTCTCAAACTGAAGGGACAACAAAGGATAAGACGAAGAGTTTCCAGGCTAGGCGCTATCTCACAGGACAGTTCGGTTTAAAAGGGTTAGACTAACTTGGTAACCTGTATGTCTTCTAAAGCTTATAGTTTTGAGTTTTAGGTTCAGGTTAAGCTAAAGCCTCTTAGAACCTTTCCAGAGAACAGAGAAATGTGACCCTATCTGTGAGGACAGATATAAAAAAATTGAGTAAGCAATGACCTTCACTCAGCAAAAAGAAGGACCAGACCCTTATCTTCGAATAGTGTTTCTTAGCAACCAACCCAGACTTCTTCTGAGTAGCTTCTGACCTCCAGCCAAAAGTCCACAGCCCCCTTCAAGGATGAGCTTACCACTCCCACCTTCAATTGCAGCTGCATCCACACTTGACAGGACTGGCCAAGCTTGAGCACCTAAGACTAACCAATTATCTTACTTTATAGCTTCCTCATCCAATCCTAAATTGCCAAGACTGCAACTTCAAATTTCCCGCAATTTTTCTTTAAAAAACCTAAAGGCCTTTGTCTCCCGGTGCCACTCTTTGCTGACCGGCAGGGGTGACCCCATTGCGCAATGGTTAATAAACCTCTTGCTTTTGCAACGAATCTGTGGTCTGTGGGAGTTTCTGGGAAGGGAGTGATCTTGAACTCCTGAGCTGTGAGACCCCAGGTCTTACAGGTTATCTTGACTTTCTCACAGGCTTGGGTATATCTTCCTCACTTGCCTCAGTGTCCACAATAGGTGTTCTGGATCTTCTCTCTTCTCACCATATTTGTATCTAGATCTAGATCTTTGTTCTGTGGGCTGATGTTCCTGATAGGTTGTGATTTCATGAAGATTGGTTTGGGGCCATTTTATCTATCTATCTATCTATCTATCTATCTATCTATCTATCTATGTATCTATCTATTGAGACAGGGTCTCACTATGTAAAACAGGTCGACATTGAACTCACAGAGGTCTGCCTGCCTATGCCTCCCAAGGGCTGGGATTGAAAGTGGGTGCCACTATCAGTATCATGTCATTTCAATTAATTTAATTTCATTCATTTTTACTTAGTAAATATCTAATGTTCCTATGGGCACTGAGCCAGGAATGGAAGACGCCAGGTAGCTCCCACTCTGGAGGAACCCCTAGTTGGGATGTGGCTGTTCAGGTAATAGACCATAGCAACGTCCATCGCTCAGACTCTTAAGATAGACAGCAGATGGCACAGTAGAACAACACCTCTATCTTTAGAGAATTTCCCAGAAGGTAGTAAGACTGGTAAAGTAGTTTTCCAAGGGGAAAAAGAAAAAAAGCTAGTCCAAATAGAGGGTCTTCTCAGAACCAGAATGTGGAGTGGCTGCTGGGAAGGAAAGCCGTGGCCTGGATGCTTGGTTGTCAGGCCCGGGCATGGGTTTCCATTCAGTAGGCAGAACGGATATACTGGAAGCTTCCCATGGCTTCTATGAAGGTAACCAGCAGCTGTGGAGAGCGGCATACTGTCTAAGAGAAATGGAAGCACCACAAGGCTGAAACGGGCTAAAAAGCCGATCTCTTGACAAGGGCTTTTGAACCTGCTAACTTTGGCCTGAGTGCTGAAGGTTATGGGATAGGCAGAACTCCTCTTCTCCCCTAGAGATCCCTATTACCTGACCAAAGTCCCAGGGCTCTTCCTGAATGCAGTTTGCTGTGCCCAGGTAGATAAGGCCGTTCTGGTTCAATACATATTCGGTGCGTTGAGCCTCATTCTGCAGAAATACAGCATCGTCTGGCAAGAAGTAGGAGAGGTTGAGGGCCTGAGGGTGTGGGAACTGCCCTCCATGCCCAGGTTTCTGCCCTGCCAGCCCAGGCTGGGTTTGGTTTCAGTCCTTTCTCGCATTTCTGGGCCTAGTGAAACTCCTGAGGGTCCTTCTCACTGATCACTCAGGACCTGGTCCGGAAACCCAACATCAGTCACAATGTGGCCAGGAACAAGCCAACCTTAAAAAGCCTAGTGGTTTCCAGAAGAGGTTTGCAAATGAGAGTCCTACAAGCTCAAAGGGGCTCAGGAGCCTCCTAGGGAGTTTCCCAGTGGCTTGTCAAATCTTTCCTAGAAGACCAATTTGTAACAATAAAAGGGTGTACCAGAAATGGCAAAATAAACACAGGAATTAAACACGGGTTAAGCACAGTGAACCAAGGGGAAAGGGTGGGGAGGAGCAGGGCTTGAAAAGTGGGATTCTGAGCATTGGGCTTGTGTACTGAAAGATCCTCTGGGTCGAGGGTTGGGTTCCCTTATCCAAGCATTAAGCGAGCATCGTGGAGAGACTGCAGGTCAGAGAACGTTAGGCTTTGTCAACCACTTTGTTTGAGACGAGTCTTCACAGTATAAGCTAGGCTAGCTGGCCCACCAGCTTCCAGAGATGTCTGCCGTCTCTGGCCCCCACCTTCCCAGGAGCAGGTTGCACCTGGTTTTCCCTTAGATTCTGGGGAATCTGAACTCAAGTTGTCAGGCCTGCGCAGCAATTTCTTTTACCCACTAGGCCATCTCCTCACTGGTAGATATCTCTTAATGAAAACCATCGTTCACTTTAGGACGCTGGAAGCAGCTTGAGGTTCAGCTTTTCTTGCCAAATTTCCTCCAAGCTACAGAAGCACTAGAGAGTTGCCCGGGCACCCAGGACCGCCTCTGCTACCGAACTTGGCTCGTCGGAATCTCTCTCAGTCATGTCTCAGAGGAGCGGAGCCAATGGCTCCCGCTACCTAATCCCTCCATACAAGGACATCCCTAGTTGGGGTCCTACACATGGAGTAAGAAGGCAGGAATCCTAGCAGCGGAATCAAGCGTGGATTCCTTCAGAACCCAACACGGTCCTAAAGCTGTTGAGACTATATTTTGGTTGCTCTGAATGTAGACTCTGAGCTAGTCATCTGGGATGCATTAAAGCCTCAGCTTTGGAAGGGGACCCCCGAGATCTTCCTGTCAGTATGTGGAGAAATGTGAGATCTCCCTCAGCAGAAGGATCCTGAATCTACAATGAATAACACGGGGCAAAGGACATTTGAGCAGCCGCAAGTTCCCGTGTATTGCTTCACTTGCCTTTCCCCTTGGGACACAAAGGAAGGCCCTGAGCTGAGGATGGGCAGGACTGTCTAAAGGAATGGTTCTCAGCCTTCCTAATGCTGTGACCATTTAGTACAGTTCCTCATGTGTGGTGACCCCCAACCATAAAATTATTTTTATTGCAACTTCATAACTGTGATTTTGCTACAGTTATGAATTGTAATATAAATATTTGTAGTTTCTAATGATCTTAGGCAAACTCTGCGAAAGGGTCATTTGAGCCAGGTGCATTCAATGGTGCACGCCTGTAATACCACCACCCGGGGAGGCCAAGGCAGGTGGATCACTGTGAGTTTGAGGCTAGCCTTGTCTACAAAGCGAGTACAGGACAGTCATGGTCACACAGAGAAACCCTGTCTCAGAAAGAGAGAGAGAGAGAGAGAGAGAGAGAGAGAGAAAGAAAGAAAGAAAGAAAAAAGATAGAAAGAAAGAGTCATTTAACTCTCCCATACTAAGGGTTCATGACTCACAGGTTGAGAACCACTTATCTAAAGGAAGGGGTAGGTACTGCAGGTCCTGCCTTAGACAAGAAAAGTAAAGCACATTGACTTCAGGCATCATAAAGGAAAGAGTCTGGGCCTTGGCTCCATGTGTGGGGCTATAGGAACCTGGGGAAATTATTATCCTTCCCTAGATTTCCTCTAGTCCCCAGCCCTGTCTTATACAGAAGGCCCCTCAGGCTGACAGCGAAACTATTGAAAGGAAAAGAAAGTGTGTATGGTGTCTTGAAACTAGGAAATCCAGGAGAAACTGTTTTCTATTCTCTGAATCAGCCCTCAAGAAGGCCCAGCATTAAGATGGGTGAGACAGACTTAACCGGGAAAGAGACTGGATCCTCAAAAGGAGAAGGAAGGGACAATGGCCTGTTGTAGCCTCGTTGGGACAAACCACCGAGGTCCACTAGATGAAACAAGCCTGGCTTCAACCAGAGCTGTACTTTATAGGTGGTCATCTGACCCCAGTGACGTCACTCACAGGCTCGCTCGACTACAGGACTTCAAACAGGTCTCCATGGAGAGGACCCCACAACCTGCCTTAACAACAGAATTAACAAGTGGAGGGAAACAAAAACCCAGATTGGGTTCCTTTACCATGAAGTTGATAAAGAAAGCTTGGGGCTCTCATAGCACGGGCTTATTCCACATGCTAGAAGAATCCTAGAAGCAATTTAAAATTTCACATTATTTTGTTCAAGGTTTTCTTTCATTAGATAATCTCCTGACCCCTCAAAACCCAACTACATCCCGGAGAAAAACAGGAAAGAAGCAGAAAACCCCACCCCTGTACCAACTTATTCCCACATCTCTTCCTAGTTCTCTATTGTATGTATTTGAGTGTGTGTGTGTATCTGAGTTTATGTACATGTGGGTGCTCTGGTTCTGGTGAACAGCTGTGCATTCAGAGGCCAGAGAAGTACGTCAGATCTCTTGGACCTATACTGTAGACATTTGTCGGACCCTTGGCTTGTCATGTGTGATCTGGGACCCAAGCCTTCATTCTCATGATTGTGCAGCAAGCACTCTTAACTGCTGGGCTTTCCCTCCAGCTCCTTGTTTCTGTGCCGTTACAGTAAAAGGCAGATTTTTAAATTTCATCTCAATGAGTCCAAAATAACCTGAACCAGCACCACAGTTTGACAGCAAGACAAATGTAGACTTGTAATACGAAGCCCCAGTGATCGATCCCAAGACAGGTCCCAGGGCCTGAGGAGACGCCAGCTGGAATTTAATGCTGGTGTTGCCCAGAGGGCCTGGGGCAGGTGCTTCCTGTTGGAGCTGTATCCCATCTCTGCTTCCCTTCATCCCTGTGCACCTCAGACTAGCTTAGGTCCAAACTTACCTCTATTCCAGGGATTAAAAAGGAGCGTGAATTGGCCCAAGGGGTATTGTTTCCTGCCCGAAACCTGAAGGAGGAGTGAGTAGCGGCCAATGACAGCATCCACAGGTGTGGTCACGGAAATGGTCCAGTGTTGGGCACCTCTGTCCTCCACGACCGCACTCCATCCTTTTGGGTCTCCCAGAGAGGAGATGGGGAAGATGGCTTGGGTCTTGCTGTCCTTGGAGGGCTGCTCTCCTGCAATGCACAGTAATAAATTGGTCATTTAGACTTCCGGGTCATAGCTCAGTGATAAATAATAAACCAGTAATAAATTAAGTTCTCACAAAGATGGGGGAGGTTTCGGAGAAACCTCAGAGTTTCGGAGAAGAAGAAAAGAGGTCTTCCTATAGTGAGGAACAGTAAAGGATAATGAAGGAACATGGACTCTTGGTGCCTATGGACCTATGTTTACGAAAGGGTCACAGCCTACAAAATGGATAGAATAATCATACAACCATCCCTCCAATCCAGGAGTATTGGTTGCACGACCTCCTGCAATACCTAAATCCAAGGTTGCCTATGTCTCTTTACATAAAATACCATGGCGTTGTATTTTCTTGCCTACTAATCTTTTAATTACTTCTGAATCCTCACACAGCATAAGCGGCTGTCTACACATGCTGTGTTTTAAGAATTGCTGACGAAGAGGGAAAGACTGTACTTGTTGAGTACAAGCACAATCTTTGCCCAGGTGTGGCCCCTAGTGGTTGGGCTGATTCTGAGGGAGCAGAACCCATCCATGGACACGGAGGGCCTGTGAAGGGACTGAGTTAGATATCGCACGTTAAGAACTTGATTCATTAGTTGATACAAAATACAGATGTCAGCGGTCAGTGCAGTCTAGATGCTTTGCGTAGCCAGAGTTAGACCCCACTCGGCCTTCCCCACAAAGTCGCATCGAAAGTCGAGCTCTTAATGGTGATGCTGCTGAGCACTTCAGAATTAAAAACAAACAAACAAACAAACAAACAAACAAACAAAAAAACAGCATTTCTTGTACATTCTCAAAACAGCCCCTTGGTGAAGCAGGACAGCTTAAGGCCCAGCTACACTGTGGACCATTTGTCTTTTGGTCTTCTGAGAGGCTATGGGGAAGATAATCCCCCCATCCAAATCCCCAAATCCCCACATCCCCGCAGTGGTCTAGGCCTGTCCCACATACCAGTTTGTGCAATGAGAGCCACTTTCTTCAGGGCAGACAGAAATGTGTGGACTGAGCCACGGAAGTTCAGGGTGATAGTGAAGGACTGTCCCCTCCTCAGAATAAGGTGCCGGGAGCTGATGGCCTTGGTGTGGTGCTCCTCATTGTTTTCTGCTGCTTGGAAGTCACAGCTCTTGATACTTAGAGCTGTTATGGAAAAAAGGGAAGTCCTAGATCATAGATATGAGGTAAGTATAACAACATGAATAAAAGGTAGCTTCCAATGGTGGGGTTGAAGTCCTTGACTCAATTTCCTTGTCAGCTGTGCAACCTGAAGCAAGCACTTTATTTATTTATTTATTTATTTATTTATTTATTTATTTATTTATTT